AATATAACCATATTATTTAATAGAATTGTTTGAAAAATATTATTTTTATAAAAACTGTACAATTGTATCAAACGATGAATTTTAATTGTCCCGACAAAATAGTATGATCATACAACAAGATAGATATTTTATTGATCGACTATATACATTTTTATCAAAAACTAATTTCATTTTAGTGTGTGTTTTGTTTTGTTTTATGAATTTGAGTTTTAGTTTCATACGGATTGTATGTGATATTTTGCAATAAAAAATTAATAAGAATTGCATAGTAACACCAACAAAAAAAATAAAAATAAAATAAATAATAATAATAATAATAAATCAAATATAAGAAATTAAAATAAAATAAAACTCATTTATTATTTACCAACCTCTTCTTGGAAAAACAACATATGTATTCAATTTTACTTTCAATTTTAACTATATTTTCATATTATTTATAAAATATTATTTTTTCATAAAATATCATATCAAACATTTTTTTTTTCTAACAACTTTAAAAATAATCTAAAACACCCTATCTAAACAAACTCTATCTAGTTAGTGATAAGCATATAAATTACTTCATTTGTTTCGCTCTAAGCGTAATATTAATTTTTTGCATATTGATCTATAAATATTAATTATTATATCAAAACGTAGTACAAATTAAAAAAATGGTAAAAATACTTTTATTAATGTCTTATAATACTAATATAACAATATTTGTTCAAAAATTTATACAAATATAAAAAATTGTTAATGTTAAGTATAATTATACAAAAGGTAAATATAACCTTTAGTGACAGACGTAAATAATATTACTTTATATATATATATATACACATACATGTGAGAAAAAAAATATATTTGTTGAATTAAACTACATATGTTGACTAATTAGGAAGTTTCTAACCTATTGCACAAAGTCAACTTCAAACATGAGATGTCATATCTCTCATTTAGACGCAAAAAAGGTCACTATGAAATGAGTGAAATATGTTAGAACTATATATGCCTAAACCTATATTCTATGGGTATTAAATAATTTTTAACTTTTGAACTAACTTAAAATTTTCTCTATTATAATCTACACATAAATTAATATTATTTTCTTAAAAAATTATTATTTTAATGTGGAAAATAATTAACAACATAATGATATATTAATGAATCAATAAAAACACATATTGTAATATTATTATATTTTATGCATTTTTAATTAACATATAAATATATTTTTTTTTCTTAAGTTTTACTTAAAATCTTATAAACAATTTTAATGAATGAAGAGGATTATTTATATATGATGGATGAAGTGTAATTTTAAATTACAAACACTATTGTTAATGTTAGTATATAATGCTTAATAAAGTGTGTTCTTTTGAAATTTTGGTTTCAAAATGTGAGGTTTCGATTTTAAATAATGATTTGAATATGATATTTTTTGAGAAAAAATAATATAGAAGCAAAGTCTACGGAGATTGAAAATTTGGTTGCAATGAGACACTTAAAGTGTGTTATTCTGAATTTTTTATTTCAATTTTGTGTAATATGTAGTTATCGTAATTTTTTATAGAAATATATTGTTTTTTCTCATAAAATACTATATCCAAGTTTTTATTAAAAAAAAAAAAAACTAAACTCTAAAAAAACACACAACTTGAGTTGAAACAAAAAATTGTAAAAGTTGTCGAAGAGCATATGCAATTTGCAAAATTACGGAGTTTAGATATTAAGGGGTGTGAAATTTTACACAAACTTCTTAATGGGACCGAAAAGCTCACGAACTTCAAGTAACTTTTTATTGATAAGGATACATCTTCTAAAGGTCGATTTCTAGTACAAGCTATAGGTGTGTGATCACTCCGCAAATCCAAGATAATATTGAACCAATTTGAGTTTGTTCGGAAAGATCGATAGTAATGGAGCAGCACTCTCAATTAAGGTATGGTCGAAAATTGGATTCGATCACTCTCAGTGGAACTTTAATTGAAAATATTATTCATTTGCTCACAACAGAACTAAAATTAGAAATACAATTCGCTCATTCTCCACAGAGTTAAAGTTGAAAATATGATTCACTCAATCACAAGAGAGTTAGAGTCGAAAACAAAACTCACTCATTCTCAACAAAGTTAGAGTTTAAAACAATATTCTCAAAGGAATTAGAGTTGGAATCAAAACACTGTCATTGGAAATCGAAGTGATGACACTGGCATGATGAAGACAGATATATCAAGAATAATATCAACAAATACGAGTTATAACAGGACTATAATGGAAGAATTATACCGGGACTATATTAGAATTTGAAATAAAAATTCTCTATTTCATTTCTAAGAACTTCTCCATATGTATAATAGTCTACAAATAGTCCCAATAAGTTAAAGAATTTTACAAATATCTTAAATAAGTCAAATACTATAAATATAATATATATTCCAAATAATTTTTTTTAACACTTAACTCATTAAAATTAAAATTACGATATCTTTTCAATATATAGTATTATTCACGGTTAATTTTATTTTGCTATATTATGTGTTGAACTGCGACATTGATTTTCATATTGTAATTTAATATATCTTATACTTAGTTTAATTGATTTTTTTTTGTTTAGTACATAATCATTCAGCATTTTTATATTAAACTTAATAAGTTTCTTATATTGTACCATAAATTTATATTTTGCTTCGATATTCTTTTATCATTCAATATACAAAATATAGTCGACATTTATTTTTATATAGCTCAACAAACTATTTTACATTGTTCATTAATTAATAGAATTGCAACATAAATTCAGCACATAATCAAAACTTTTTATTTTCAAATTTTAGTTATATAAAAAAACAAATTTTAGAACACACTCTAATGACTTTTTGTGTTATTGTTTAATATACTATTATAATCTGGTAGTAGGTTTGAAGCTTAAATATAGTATTCATGATTTTGAATAAAAAATAATATAGCAATTGTATTTTGATAGTTGAAGTGTTTTTTTTGGTTGAGTTTGAAAAAAATTGGTTTGAATTTGATATTAAAATAATGTTTGATGAGATATTCTACATATATTTTTCGAAAAATGCAGAGTTTAAATAATAAAATTTTAAAAAAAATGGTTAAAAAAAACAAACCCTATATAAATAATATTTATGGATTGTAAATTTGTAATCAATCTAAATGTAATTCCACGATCTGACTTATTGTGATTTATTTTGCTAGTACAATTTGCATGTTATATTAGATTTTTACTGAAAAATAGAATACATATTCTAATGTTATAAAAAAAATTAAAACAGACAAAAAAAAATAAAAAATGATGGAGGGCATAGATGTAAATCAATCTGTCAATTATTGGTAGGACATTGAGGAAGAGTTGGCTTCGATGTTGACATCAATGTTTGTTCTCATAATATTAACATTAAAAGAAAAAAAAAATTATTGTCAAAGAATTGAATTTTTACTTTTATTAATTCAGACCATGAGGTCATGGGTTCAAACCCCCGACGCTTCAGGTCACCTGCCACATATTGTCAAAGAATTTTTACTTTTGCTGGTGGTTTTATCCAATACGCACTTTCTGATAGTGATTGCGGTTCCCACGTCATCCAAATAAATAAATAATGAAACTATATGCAATGCACAAATCATGGCACTAGGGTTTATGTTCCTCTCACTTTGTACCAGGGAACAATGGCAATATGCATACAGAATATGATCTTGAAGTGTTGGAAAGCCTTCTATCCGGAAAATCCTATATTTTTTGGTGAATACTCTTAAGATTTTATTTTCAAATAGAGTACTCTGTGTTTCTAAGTATCTTACCTGATATTTTTATCATTTTAGATTTTAAATGGACTTTATTAGAAAATAGTCACGTAAGTAAAAAAATTTCGCTAAAATGGTTCTCCGGTGCTAGACTCGATGCGCTGGCCTGCTGTTGCTGACGTGGCGTTGACGCGACTGACATGTCATTGTCACGTGGATGCCACGTCAGAGACATGTGGAATTTTCTTTTATTTACTTATTTTTATCATTTTAAGGACTGTAAATAGACTATCTCTGAAAATAGTTTCATTATTGTCTTATAATACTAATAGAAAAATATTTATATAAAACATTATACAAATGTAAAGATATATTTAATATTAAGCACAATGACGGCGGATTAAAGGAATATATTTTTTAATTTAATCTAAACAAAGTACTTTTGGAATGATTAGTCAAATGCAAGTGAAGATGACGATAGACTTCATTTATGCACGCCCTATATTTTTGTGTTTGTGGTTTGGTTAGGGTACTGATTGGAGTTACTCAATATTGTGCTTAGTAATCCTAATCAAAACATAGAAATAGATAGACATTATGTGCTAATAATGCACATTTTGTACAATGTTGTATGAGCATATTTTATATGTTGAATTTAATTGGAATATGTATTATATGAACTATTTGTATGTGTTGTCGGCTTGTATGTGTTGTCGACTTATATACTATATTTGTATTATAGAAGTCAATTACTGAATAATTTGATAAATCTTTGGAAATAGCAAAATTTGTCCTAGTCGGGCACAAACCGTGCTTATTTACAATACCGATGATTTGTTTGAGAAATATCTCATAGTTGTTGAACTTTGAAATGCGTTAAAAAACACAAAATATGATACTCCCTCCGTTTCAATACAATAGTCTTGTTTACCATTTTTGTCCATCCCAAAACAATGGTCTTATTTTCATAAATAACCATATCACCATAAAATTATCAGTACTTTTTCATTTTTATTGCACAATTGTCATTACTTTTTACACTAATACACTCGCAAGGGTAAAAAAATATTTTATCCATACTTTTTACCAACTACCAATATAATATCAATATTCCTTAATCTCATGCCTAATCCAATTAAGACTATTTTATTGGACGAAGAGAGTATATTTTATCAATTGCAAAGTTCATTACCTTTTGGGTTGTTCATATATGATATTCTGATTCAATTTTCGACAACCAAAATTAAGGGAACGATAGAAGAGTAGTCGACAAAACTAGGAGTATATTTATCATGATCCATCGTATCTTTTGTTCCACTCTAGTTTTCTAGAATGTTCTATTTTTCTATGACAACCACTTACATTTCAAGTTTTATACTTTTATACAATGTACAATACATATGTATGAGAGAACCCTCAATTTCTTCCACTCTATATTGCACATAGTAAAGGGTCTCCTCTCCTCTTGTCAACTTAGCTATACAAAAAACTCGAGATACTGTTGGGTCGACATCAGAATGAACTTGTTCTCCGGAGCTGATACCTCGGTTCATAAATATCAGAACCAAACGAATCTTCGAATTCCTGCAAAGCAATGATCTTTTTGCGGTAATGGAGATCATAATTCATCATTTTACTGCATCCAAGTAGGAATCGAAAATTACAATGTACTCCTTCCGTCCGGCTCTGAGGGTCACATTTACTTTTTACATGTTGATATTTGCATATTAATTATTATATCAAACCGTTGTACAAATAAAAAAAAAGGGCAAAAATACTTATATTAGTGTCTTATAATACTAATATAATGAGTAGTTATTTTTGAATAAACAGGCCCCGTTTCCGTCCTTTCCTTGTAAAGAAAGAGGATGGAAAGCGCAGAAAAAAATACAACGGACAACGCAGTGCACTTTCTAAAGAAGAAGCATAAAGCTCAAGCTCAGGCATGCAAATTACTAGTAGGCATATTGAGAAAAGGATTTGATCATTTTCTTCCCCCGACTTATACCGGTAAATTCATTATCCCTACTGCATATACACATACATAGATATGATACCTGGTTTGTTTCATTGGTGTCAATGGCATCACTACTGTATCCATTTCTACATGTTTCTGAAACTCAAATATACCTATACAATTCAATGCTTCAATGCTGAGGTTTGGAGTGCCTAATGGTATTGAAAAGCCACTATTTTTTTCAAGTGAAAAAAAGTGAACTTTTGTGCACACATCATCCAACTGTTTCTTAGAAAAAGTAAAAACAAGAAATTTTTTTATCTTTTCTTTGGAAAAAAAATAAAATTTATTGTTAGTAAATAGCGTCGGCACCTAAGAGGACTTCAGAGAAATGCAATTATGCAAGAAGCTAGTGATGTGAATTACTTTACCTTTTCATTTTTAAGCTTTGTGTTTTCCTCTTCAAGATAGGATACCTTCGTCACCAGTTCATTATGGTAAGCCTGAAAACAAGATCGTAAATTAAATTTCTCTCTCCTCAAACACACATATATATATATATATGTATGTGTTTGTGTGTGAAACTGCAAAACTGACAAGAAATACATATCAAGTGGTGTTCGAATCTTGCCTGTTTTCTTGCTCGCGATCGAGCAGCCGATTCCCGGTTCTTAATCTTTCGCCTTAGCCTCCGTTCGATGGCCTTATCCAAGTCCCCCGGTATCCGCTTCCGACCTAGAATTGGCATATCCAACATTGCATCAATTGAAGGGGAAGGCGACAACTGCATTTGGGACGATAATTTATGGGACTTCAATGCACTGTCCAACGACATGACAGGCTCGATCATTGGATTTGCTACGTACATCCCAGCCTTCACCAAGAAATCCTCAAGGGTTGTTTCTCCAAGAGTCGGCTCTCGTTCTTGGCCGCCGCTCCCCTCTGTCTTGCTCGTTCTATATCCTTGCTGGATGTCCCGCCACACCTCGTCCACCGTCTTCTTGCCAAACGCCCTCGCAAGCGACCAACTTGCCTGCCGCTGAAGAGATGCTGCAGGGGATGAGTTCATCGCATCTGTCCCGGGTGAATGGGTCGCCTCTGTCGCCCATACATTTTTTAGCAGCTCGTCGAGGTTCATGTTGCCCAACAATTTACCCGAATTGGCTAAATGCGCCCTGACTTGGTCGAGGGTGAGGCTCAACCACGAGTTGTTCATCGTCTGAATCCCCATTCACAGCTAAGCTCCCAATCTTCGAATCTATTGTTTCCCATACATTTGGAGGAATCAAATGCAAATAAATCAATAAAATGATTCTGTCTATGTAATCAGCTTTTTGGAGTTTGCAATATAAAATCAACACTGGTAAAGAAACAGAATCCAGATCTTGTTTCAAGCCAACACAGATTTACCACAGACAAAAATGAGGACAAACGAAAAAGTATCAGTTATCACTGCACCTAACATTAGTCAAAACGACCGGAAATTGCACCTGGTAATATGTTTGACACAGTAAAAAATTCATGTAACTGCGTTCTTTTTTACTAGATACAATACATTCAATTATAGTACACCAATCTCCAATACAGTATCTAGCTAAGAGACGATTCCATAGCTAACTACTTCTTCGAAGTTCTAACAATATACAAACCAAAATTACCCATACCATAGCAGCAATCAATTAATCTACATAATTAAAACCCGATTCAGACAAAAACCACCGAACATAATCGATCCCAACACAATTTACCAGATGATGGAATACTGACCTCAGCAACAGATTTATTAACAAAGGTTTTCAACAGAAAATATCTTCTTCAAATAATTAATGAATAATCTAGAATAAAATAAGAATAGACTAGAAAATATATCAAATCTAGAACAAACTAGAAATTAAAAGAAGATACAAGAAAATGAAGAATCTAGAGATATAAAGATTATTCATTTATCTAGAATATTCTATCTAGCACCCTAAATAGGACTCACTTGTAATCAAACGTAACAAGTGAGTGTATTAGTTGGTGTGTTTGTATTCAATGATATTCTACCTCAGTAAAAAAATTTAATTTCTTATATTCAAGCCTCCCTACATCCAACAGAAATTACCCTTACCATAGCAGCAACCTGTTAATCTACATAATTAAAACCCAATTCACACAAAACCACCTAACATAATCGATTCCAACACGATTTACCAGATAATGGAATACTGACCTCAGCAGCAACAGATTTATTAACAAAGGTTTTCAACAGCAAATATCTTCTTCAAATTTCAAACAGCACAATTCGAGGGAAAAAAAGCAAAAACCCCAGTTCACCTGGAAATTATTGACTGCAACTACCGATTTATAAACAATTTGCATAAAATCGAACAGAAACTACCGAGTACAAACGATTTGAACAGAATTCAGCAGAGATCGCGGCCGATAATCCTGAAGAGAGCGCCGAAAGTGAGGAAAATAATGGAGGATTGGGAACCAGCGGATCTAGAAGTTACAGCGACCAATTGAGAACATTTTTATATCAACTAAGTAATAAGGATATAAATGGAATTTTACTCTCTATGTATTAATGTATTATTATGAGTTTAGTGGATAATGACACAAAGATTTCAAGTCCAACTATTGAGCAATAAATAAAATTGTTATTTACACACAGATTTTAAAATTTTTGAAAAAAAAAAATTTACATATGATATAATAATGTGATATATTATAATAAAAAATAGATATTTTATGTAATTTTTTAAAAAATATATTAATAAAGAATATCGATATTTTAAATTTATATATAGATAAATATGACCAAAATTATAGTATGATAATATATTTTTATTGAGAAAAGAAAAATATTCTAACGCTAGACTATTCTTTTAAATATATTAAACAATCATTTTTAAAAATATATTTTAAAAAAATAATATATTATACAATCAATTATTTTTATATTATTTACATAATCAATTATAACGCTTGCAAGTTTCTAAAGTAGGTATTCGACTATTAATCAATAAAAAAAAAGTATATAAATATTTTTCTACAAATAATAGTTTGGTTGTGATTTCAATTTGAAATCACTTCTATTCACTTTGATGATTCTCGATAAAAAGTATTACTCTCCCCGTCTCAATACGTTGTTTCAAAACAATAGTCTTATTTTAATAAATAACTATATCACCATAAAATTATCTCTATTTTTTCATTTTTATTACACAATTGCCACTACTTTTTACACTAATACACTCGAAAAGGGCAAAAAAAAATCTTTTATCTATACTTTTTTATCAACTATCAATATAATATCAATATTATTTAAATCTCATGTCCAATCATTAAAACTATAGTTTTGAAACAGAGAAAAATATTTTATCACAAAATATTACGTTAGAATATTATTTAAATAAAATTTCAAATCAATAATTTCTTTCAAACTACAATTAAAAACAAATCATAAAATTTTATGTGATGAAACCAAAATGAAATGTTTGACTTTATTTACATATATTTTTCACTATTTTTATATTACTGATTAATTTATTCAAAATTTATTACTTCCTCAGTTATTCAAATCTAAGCTCATTTTCCTTTTTGGATTGTCATTGAAAAATATTCTCGTTTTCTTTTTAAGTAAAAAACTATTACATTTTTGTATTTTTTTACTAAAGAAAAAAATAACCATTATTACTCACTTTTATTAAAACTCATGCCCGGTCAAATGAGCACACATTTGGACGAAAAAGGGAGTATTATTTATTTATTTTAATATTATATTCAAAAATAATTCAAAACATTAGATCTCGCACACTATTATCGGATCATTTATTTTTTACGAGAGCTTACTATTTATCTAATTAAGAAATTGATAAATTTCATTTACTTTATTAATTCAATGATCTCTTATTAAAAGAAATGGGCCACAGATAACCTCATTTCTTTCTTGTATGTTCACAAAAGATGGTTTTTTTTTTATTTTTTATAAGTTTATCAATTTTAAACATATTTAGCAAATATAAATCAATTTAATTCAACTTCTAACATCTTAGACATAGGACCTACTCAAAACTCCTTTATTTCTATCTCTCTTCAATTAACAAATATTTTTATCTACTTTTAAAATTTCTCATTTTTTTTATAAAACTAATTTACGATAATAATAAATAAATAAATATATATATATATTTTTATTCATTTGTATTATATAAAATTTTATTGTCTAAAAAATTATATGCATATTGCATATATTTTATTAAAATATAATTCTAAAAATATTTAAAATATCAACAACACTATACATATAAAAAATAATAAAATATTTTTATAATTTATTATTAATAATTTAATAACCTACGCTATCTATAATACGGTGTCCTTAAGAAAAGGGTTATCTGTGGTGAGGAATTACTATAATGATGGTCATCACAAACGTATGAAACATATTCCAAACGAGTACAGTAACAATGCCAATAGGATGACGGTTGCTTTTTTGATTTTTTTATTATCTTTTATTTTTAAAATTGTATATTGATTTTGCTTTGAGTTCAGGGACTAATATGCAATTATAATTTTTTTTATTATGTATTACTCCCTTATTTTAGCTAATTTGTCTCATTTAGTTTATATACTGAGTTTTAGATATTGCATAATTAGTAAATAATCAAAGAGTATATTAGTGAAAATAATTATAATTTAATAAAAATAATTTTAGATTAAGATGATTAAATAATTTAAATAAAATAAAAATTATAAATTATGAATTTTAAAATGTGATTAAAGTGTATAATTATATTTTTTTTGAAAAAAAGAAAATATCGGACGGAGAAATATAAAGAGTGGACAAATTAAGTGAGACGGAGGGAATATATATTTATAAGTTTTATTATTTATAAACTATTAAACTTAATAAATTTTAACCTATTATAATTTAAATATATGTTTAATACATTTAAATTTTACACTTAAATTTTAATTTCACAATTAAATTTAAATTGTTTTTTATACCAAAATTGTGTTTTTCTTTTTGTCTTTTTTCTTGTATGTTACACAATTATAAAAAATAAAATTATGATTTTAAATAAAAATACCGTAACAATTGTATTTTGATAGATGAAATTATATAACTAAAGTTAATGGACTGTCATCAACCTGGAGTTGTATTCAATTGGGATTTGAATGGATTCTTTTGGATTTTAAAAGTTTATGAATTTATGTGAATTTTTTAAATCCACAGAGTTTACGTTGAGTTTGATTGATTTTAATAATTGATTTAGATGAATTTTTACAAATTTGATTGAATTCTTCGTCGATTTATATGGATTTCATAGGATTGAAGAATAATTTTTTTATTAATATATATAATTATATAAATTTATATTAAAGATAAGTTTTATAAATATAATATATTTATAATTAAAGTTATTACATATTATTATATTTTGGTAATATAAAATTAATAAATAAATAATATATAATTATTAATAATGTAAAAAAATACTATAACATATATAACATTACTATATTGTATATTAGTAATATTTTTTATTTTATAGTTTTTAATATTATATTATCATTCAATATATCAAATTATTTTTATATTTTTTATTAGTTATTGTTATTATTTATATAACCTTTTACATAAAAATAAATAAATACATAGTATAATATATAATTTATGATTTTTGAAATAAATATTAAAATAAAAAAGTAAATAAATATAAACTAACGGTACAACTAAAAATATATATATAAATATCTATTCCACTGTCACCGATACGACAATACATTGTATTCGATAATTCAAAAGAGAGAACGACAATATATTGTATTTAATAATTGAAAAGAAAATACAACAATAATATATATTTATTACAATAGTAATATTTTTAAAATATTATATTTATAATATAAAAATATATATTTTCAAAAAAACAAATTGATAATAAATAATAATTTGCAATTATTATTTTTATTAAAAATTATAATAATATTAATAAATATTATCATATTATTTATCACCTATACAACAACAATAACACAATAACAATAATAATAATAATTTTAAGAATCCATAAAAAAATCTCTACTTATTAGCAAAGATTTTATACAATACAAATTTTTTATAAATTTCCATCTAAATCCAATAAAGTCCATAGACTTTAAAAGTTTATGAATTGTTGAATACCTCGTGATTTTAAAAGACTTTAAAAAGTTTGGATACCTCCAAATTTTAAAAGACTTTTACAAAGTCTTGATTAAATACATGAAAAGACTTTTAAAAATCTTAATTAAATACACCCAAATTTTAAAAATCTAACAAAATCCTTCGAAATCATGATTGAATATTGGTAAACAGATTTAAAACACCAATGTTTTACTGGTTTGACTTATTGTGATTTACTTTGTTAGTATAATTTGCATATTATATTAGTGGTGTGTGTTTTTTCACAATTTTCAAATTATATTATTTGAATTTTTTTTTCTTTAAAAAAATACACATTTTTTTTTCTTATAAATATGTCATCAAACATTAGTTTTAATATAAAAATCAAATCAAAATTTTTCAAACCAAATCAAAAGAAAAACACCTTATAATTTTTTTACTATCATAATATTAACATTGGTTTCAATAACATAACTACTATATCAATTCCTACATGTTTTTGAAACCCAAATATACTTAGGGTCGTTTAGATTGACTTAAAAAATAAATAGAAGCCAGAAGCAGAAGCAGAAGTAGAAGCAGTTCGATTTTGTGTTTGGATAAATCATTATAAAAATAGCTTTTCGTAAAAAAATTATTTGGACTTGAAAGTGTTTTTAAACTGTTAAAATTACTTAAAAGAATATGCGGTTAATATAATAATATTTTTCTATAACAATTTTATAATTTAATTTAAATTTTATAAATTATATTTAAAGATTTCAAATTAAAGTATAAAAATTGTACTTTTAAATTTTGATTATTTATATTTTAAAATTTTAATTTAAGGATAATATATCAATTACACATAAAATTACAATATAATATTAAATAATTTGTATTTTATAATTTATTTTAAAATTTTATAAATTACATTTAGTAATTTAAGTATAATTAAAAAGTTTATATACTCCTATTTTAATTCAGTATTTAAATTTTAATCCAAATATAATACATAAATTAACAATAATAAATTAATTTTATTTTTTAATTTTTATTAAAATATAATATATATAAGTTATTTATTTTTATATTATATTTTATTATCATATTGTATTTATTATTATTATTATTATTGTTAAGGATAAACAGTAATTTTAAATGAAAAGTATTTCTACTTGTTTCAGAAGCTACTCCTGATGTGCTTCTTAAAAAAGCACTTTTCAACTTCAAAAGCTGCTTCTGCTTTTGAATAGAAGCCTATACAAACAGGTGCAAACTGCTAGAAGTCAAAAAGTCAAAAACTCCTGCAAGAAGCCAATCCAAACGAGCCATACACAGTGCAATGCTGAAGATTGGGAGTGCTCAATGTTATTGAAAAGTCACTATTTTTTCAAGTGGTAAAAAGTGAAGTTTTGTCCACAATTGTTTCTTAAAAAAGTAAAAAGCATTAGTTTTTATCTTTTCTTTTTTCTCGAAAAATAAAAATGACAATAAATAGTGCCTATGACATCGGAGAAATGCACTTAGGCAAGAAGCTAACGATGAGAATTACTTAACCTTTTCTTTGAAAGTATGAATTTTTTTATTTAAATAACATTTAATGTAATATTTTGCAAAAAAAAAAATTCTGAAAAATGTAAAATATAAACAATAAAAATAAATAAAAACCATAAAGAAACACACCCTGAGTACTTCGCATATTGGCAAAGCTTATCGACAATCCAAGCTTCTTGAAGAAGTGTAACTAATTGAGTTAGAATTCCGAAAATTTGATTGTTGACACAATTTTCTTTATGCCTAGTTTGTTGTCTCATTTATTTATTTATTTATTTTTATAACATCGAATCCGTGTAGTCGGGTATTTTTTAGTATGCTAGTAAACTTCAGTCAAGCGTAATACGTCAGTGGAATAAGTCACGCTAAGCAAATCTTATGCGCCAAATTTGAACGAAAAAGCGGAGTTTCTTATCTCATTTTGTTGACTTATGTCGTGGAATAACTTTTGAGTAGTATTAGGGTGCATTTGGTACAGAAAATAAAAATGCAGATAAATGATAGTAGATAATAGAATTGCAGAGAAAATGAATTGAGTAGAAAATAAAAATTGATTATTTTATTTAGTAAAATAGAGAATTCAAGTTAGAAATGTAATACAACGCATAAAGAGAATATACTATATTGCTAATTGAAAAAGAAATAAATCGATCATTAAAAATTAATAAATTAGATAAAAAAATATACTTTCAATGGAAATTAGACACTGACGTGGTAAAAACATATACATCATCAATCATATCAACAAATATAAGATATAACAATAGATTCGGTAGCGGCTACAGATTCCCACGTCATTATTAAAAAAAAAAAAAAACAAAAAAAGGTATAACAGGTCTTATATGTAGCCTCATAGAATTTAATTCTGAAATCATGTTGAAATATTGAGCTAAAATTCTTTATTTCAATTATAGAAACTCCTATATATTTATAATAACATATACATCGTCTGAATAAGTCAAAGAATCTTAAAATCACTAGTAGATGACATTCGAATCCAGAAAACCATACCTTACTATCGCAGACTTAAAAAACATCTATAATCAAATCAGCAGAAAGCAATTTGAAAATGTTGACTGAAACATAGAACATAAGCAAATCATACTAAATGACACACATATGTAATACTAGCGGTGGCAAAAATAAGCAAAACCCGATCCGAACCCGGCACAAAAATATTATGTTTGGACCTCCAAAAATAGGCCCCGAATTTTTTCAAGCCGTGCCTAGCCAGACACGCCTAATAAACTGAGCCGTATATGGGCCCATAAAGTTCGGGCCAGGCCAATTAATATTTAATATTTAAAATACTTATATATATATATATTAACTAATGAAACAATTACAAAAATTAAGATATAGGTTGATGGTAAACATCAGGCTGATCCGGAACCAAAAAAAAAAAAAAAAAAAAAAAACAACTGAGCCGGCCCGAATTGCCATCCCTGTGTAATACTAGATTACTTACTAACTTTGTTGCTATTCAAATCCAGAAACCATATACACTATATATCACACTACACTTAGAAAACATGTATAAAAAAACATCTATAATCAAATCAACACAGCAATTTGAAAATGTGACTGAAACATAAAACATGAGCAAATCATACTAAATTACTTATTAGAAGCCTTGTGTAGAATATACATAAAGCAAGAGTTAAAGCAATAGTGTAATATAATATTATAACAATGGATATACAAAAAAATTCCAAGTTCTTCAATCTACTGAGGCCTCAAATGAACTATTATGCCACAAATGTCCGTATGCTATGCATCAAAAATTTCTCAGCAGTTAATCCGTGTATATATATATCATATCAGCAGCAATGGAATGAGCCAAAAGATAAAGAGAGAGGATTAGAGGAATAGAATCTAACCCGGACTGTGCATAGCGCTTGATGAGGTGGCAATGTATTTTCATCCAATGAAAAGCTTTCTGAGGGGACCATCCTTTCGTTCTTTGGTAGCTGAGTCAGTTAATGCTAGGAATCTCCGGAATCCGGTGGTGGCAGCATCTCTTCCGAGTGCAGCAGCTCTCGCGACAAGCTCTTCTTTGAGTGGGATTATTCCAGCTGGGGTAGATGAATTGGATACCACTGGTGCAACTGCTGCAGTAGGTGCAGCCGGGAGGACTGACTTGATAGATGGTTGATATGTTCCTGTCCCACGTTTGTTGTAGTCATCTAGTATGTTTTGCTGGTCAGACCTTTTCAGTCCCTACAAAAGCATGATGAACAAAAATGTATAGATAAGATTACTTGAGTTAAAATGGAATAGAGAACCATAGAAAATAGTCCATATTAATTTTTGTCCCATTGATCTGAAGGCTTCAATTTTGATGCCACAATTTACTTGAATTTCAATTTGAGGCTATTTTGAATCAATTAGATGCCCAACATTCTTTTTCCCATCAAAACTGGAAGGTCAAGTGAAATGCAGACAACATTAGATGATATCTTCTCACATGGGCACTTACCATAAATTTTGACAAAAATGTAGTGGGATTTAATTTGATGCAAATTACACTCAAATTATTACTTAACGTAAACTATTTTACTTCAATTAGAACTCTTAATTTAATGGTACAAAAAGTGGAAAGAGATCCCATAAAACAAAAACTACCATTTCCCAAATGGCCTAATGGAAATATTCATATGGTTGCTGATTTTTAACAGCTGTTTACCTGATGAACAAAACTATTGAAAATGTACTAAAGCCATAGCTTTATTTCCAATGCAAATTTATAAATATTTTTCTATATATGCATGCAACTTTCATAATGCCTGTAGAATCCATTGATTAGCCATTAAATAAATGTGACAGTTAGCAATTTATAATCAAACAGGGAAAATTAAAATTCAAGTTGAATGGTAGGTAAGAACCTTCAAATCAAGAATCCGTTGGAATTCTGAAGGAGTGCCCTCTGGCAAAAGGGCACAATATGTATCTGCCACAGAATCAACAGGGGACAAAATGACCTGCATAACAATTGCAGAAAATTTAACCAGGTATAAAAGCAATTCTTGAGGACAGCAAGGCCAGTGTCATGAACTACGTACCTTAAGCAGTGCTTCAGCTTTGCTCATTTCACTGCTTACAAATTTTGAATAACTTGCAGCGGAAGATGTCTGCCATAGGAACACACAGGCAAGTCATGGACAGTTTCATACATGATTAAATCTGAAAAGCACTACAATTGTCCACTAGTATGATTCAATTTGAATGCTTACCATAAAACCATTAATGTGGGATCATCCAAACTAATGCATCGAAGATTTTTTACTTTATAGTCTGCATTGTTTTAATTTTCATTTCTTTAATCTCTAAAAATACCTATTTAATAATTACTTCAATGTATAATGAATGTACTTGAGTTGTGTGCATAGACATGTAGTATAAATTCTTGACAAACAAAACTACGTATGCACACAGTTCTTATTTTGTGATCCATACTTTTAGGGCATACAAATATATAGCAAGAGTGGAAAATCTAACAAAAGTTATATAGCCATCAAATACTTTTCATAACTTTTAAACATGTCAACATACTCACATACACATACAGATAAACATCCACCAAAAAGACAATTAAAAGGGCAAGAACACAATCCAAGTATGCATGACGGTTTTCAATGCTAACTACATATATGCATGCATTCTTTCATCATAAATTCAGAGTCAAATGTATCTTATAGTGAAGTTTAAACACATTCTTCCATGCAAAGTTCCAATTGACATCGACCAGCTGATAAAAAAAAAAAAAAAAAATCAACTTTCAAGCATTAACCTGTTTCCCAAGGGAAGGAATTTCCAGAAGAATTGTTTTTACAGCTTGTGTATCCAATAGCATCTGCAAATTTCAAAATACAAACAAAAGGTGAAATAGACAATTTTACATGGCTTACAAATAACATTTGTGACATGTCAAACTCAGGAATAACAGAAATATATGTTTTCATTAAGAGTGTAAAAACTAGTTAACGCTGGATTATTAATAGTTTATCACTCAAATCTTGATTTCTTGACAACCAAATTTGTTTTTACAATAAAACCACCTCACACACATATCTTGTGAAACAAAAGTTAGTATGATAAATACTTGTTGTGCTCCTGTTTCTGATATCTGCTTGCATTTGAATATATTGAGATAAAAGCGTGGAGCAAGAGATGATGCCAGCTGCAAAGATAAACAAAAGAAAATTCAATATAAGAAATTTCAGAAACAAATGAGATGGTACGTCATAATTATATCAAATAACATGATTTAGTCACAGGTTCAAAATCCCATCATGTGATGTTTCATGAAGTGTTTTTTTATTACTGATTACTCAATCATGCATAGAAAGTTCTATAAAAAGGCAGATCTTTCAAATGGAAAGCAAGTCAAGGGAAGGCAGACTAGTTTAAGCAATGATAATCCAAGTGATTCAAGCAATTGGAGAATTGTTCTAACAGCTAACTAATGTAACAGGGAATCCAAATGTACCGCAACAAATAGTGAAACCTACAATCCGACTAAAGAACAAGGCAAAACATTGGTGAAAACAATTAGTACTAATTAACTCACCTTATCAAGAAAGAATTGGAAATATATAGGAGAAAGAAGCTTTCCAAGGACGGGAACACTGATGGTCAGAATTGTGTTTATACCATTTACATACCTGTGGAGGTGAACTTAAGGTCAACATAACATGCAAGCTATGATTCTCAGCAAAATCACTTTTTTATAAAGGAAGACAGCTTACTCTGATTGATCACCAACACTTTCGAGCGTGGCCCAAGGAACACGAGTCATTGCAGCCATTTCAACATCAAATTTAGTTTCTATACCATGCACAAGAGTTATCAATGCCTTTGTTATAACTGCTGAAAACTCATCCTGCATAATGCAATAGCATTACAGTGCATGAAGGCAAACAATGGGGCGGGTAAGAAACATTATGAAACTAGGCAAGGGGGGAGAGAAAGAGAGAAAGAGAGACCTGTACTTCAGACATATCAATTTTGTCTGAAAATTGCTGATCAACTATTTTAGACACATTTTCAGCCAATTCACCTGACTGACAATGTGAAATGAGTTAGACTTGGATAAAGAGGAGAAAATCAAAAGACATGTAAAGACAAAGATTGCAAATTCACTTGTTTCAATTATGGCACCATCTCCATTAGTTTCTCCTATACAAGCCTACAATTACTAAATCTTAGTTAAAACTCACAGCATCTACCACCATAGTCTTGCTCAATCAGAGGAACCCTAAGTCTTGCATGCCCAACAAAATATCATAGAACTTGACACAGTTTAACATCAAGTATATGATTCATTTAATAATGTTGAGCATTGAATAGGGAAATTTAATCCAATAAAATGTAGCAAAACACCTCCATCTCAACCATGAAAATTACAAATAGATGAGGCATTTCTAAAACCAACCGTCTTGTGGCAATATTCAGCTGTGTTGACTATGTAACAGATCAGGCGTTCATCTTTGTCAGATGTCTGCAGAAAGCAGGCAGACAGTATAAATGTTGATAAAAAGTGTGAAGGAATAGCATTAAAATAAAATAATAACAATAAAATGAAATTAAAAAAAATAAAAACTGCATAGCAGGTACCTTGATTTGAGCATCCATTCCTGTGGCAGCTGCCACAATTCCACTTCCACCCTTCGGCAACTTAATAAAGAGCTTTGTTGCGTATGCTTTAAGAATTTTTTGGAATACCTATTGCCAGAGTACTGGATTTTTAGAACACATAAAATGCAGCTGAAGATTCCATGTCTATAACAAGACAGTGGCAACTGGTTGGAAAAACTAAATATACAAGACTTACACCGAACTAAATTATCTCAAAAAAAATGTGCATCATACTTCAGTCTAACCTCACCATTTCAAAGACCATTCATCAATTACAGCATCCTAAGGTCCTATTGATTCATCTCAAAGTTGTGAACAAGTCTTATAGTAATCAATTTCTACCCACATAATCAAATGAGAAATTTCGTTTTGTTATAGTTATGATCACATTTTAGAATGGATCATGTTCATTTAAAAGGTAAAAACATGAAGAAAGGACATCACATAAATTTTTAAATAAAGACTAGATTTTCCAAACCATGATATTTGATAAGCATCAGAGACTTAGATGTTTCTTCGGAAAAGTTCAAACACAGTGCAGTATAACGGGGATCCAATTCCTATAGATCCATCTTTCTACCATTGAGAACAGAACCACTCAGCATCTTTAAGAGTATTAAAAAAAAAGAAAAAAAAAATCGACGCACAGTAATGCTGCATTATGTGTGGACTCATTTGATGAAGTCTGGATGTTGTTGAGATTTATCTTTTAAACCAAAGTATTTTGTTTGAGATGAAAATAGAGTAGTACTGGTTTGATCTCTAAATAATGCTTCATAAAGGATGTATGAATCTAAGGTCTCAAAGAGTCCACTTCCATTTTTCCTGCTAATATATTTAGCCTCTTAAATTCATCCTTATTTATTTTGAACCCTGTTTCCTCTAGAAGGAAGTTGTCAAAGAGGAAAGAGCTAAGAAAATTTAAAGGATACAAAATTCATAAAACTGAAAATAACTCAATTTTGAATATTAACGAACGACCAAAAGTACTGGTTAACTGGTCAATAAGTCCAATGCATATTTTTCATAGAACAAGCCATTTTGCTTTCATGAAAATAACATGTAACATACCTACACTCTAAACTACTCAGGAGCATAATGATGGAAATTAATAACACACCTTGAACAAATTAAATAAAGTTTGACTCTTCGTCAGAGCACTGCATCTCTTTAAGCTCCGCCTAATAATCAAAAAGACCTGCATAAAGAAAAGGGTTTAATATGACAATTATAATGTCAAAACAGAAAATGGAGAGAATAGTACAAAAAGATAACTAGTTCAAGCAGCCCTGCAGAAAATTTAAACATAGTCCAATTGGAAACTGAGTTGTATCAAAAAGCTGAAAGAATGGTATCAAATGGAATATTTGACATTTACTGCCCAATAATTATGTCCAATCTGAATATAATAAGAAAGTAACTGAAACACAAGGTCTATCATTGGCATTAAATCCATAAAATTTGGAAAACATAATAATAATAATAATAATAATAATAATAATAATAATAATAATAATAATAATAATAATAATCCTCGACAAGGTTGATATATCCCATTTACATTCCGTAAAACTTTAAAACAACACCTGTTCCTCCCCAAACATTCAGAATCAGAAACTCTTTTTCTTCTTTTCTTTCGTTTTTTTCCAATTGTAATGATGGAAGAAAAACAAAATTAGAATTAACAACAAAACTTTTCTAAAAAGTGACCTCAAAACTTTGCAGTAATATGATAAAAAAGTACAATACAGCCTCCAGATAGCAACCTTAGCAGTGGCAGGTTTGCATCAGCAATCTATAAATATTTCAGCACCTAAGTATATAGCAACATTTCTTTTAAAATTTTGTTTCATTATTTAAGTAATAGAGATCTAACTGCAAGAACTAAAAAATGGATTTGATATTACTATTTTAACGCTGATAATCCCACCAATCAGCAGGATTTCTGCCGCAAGGAAAAACAAAAAAAGGGTGAAATTAACCACTATCAAGAGAAACATGCAAGTTTAAAACCATGATGGTATACCATCTACATCCACAAGCAAGAACTTGTTCTTGCCCTTCTTGATAAAGTAACACAATAAACAAAATAAAATACATATACATTGGCTTGTTTGGTTGTGATTTGAAATTGATTTGAAATAAAATGTTGATTTGATTTTTTGTTTAAATAATATTTCGATGTGATATTTTGTGAGGGAAAATAGTGTAATTTTATTGAAAATTGTGCCAAGTGAAGCGTTTTGATTTTGGTTTGAAATGTTAAAAGAACATTTTTACCGTTATGTCTTTTATTTTCCTTCCATAATCATCACATCACATCACATCACATCTTTTATTTTGATGTATTGTTCTTGTGTTTTTGTCCCCTATTTTTTACTGTTCAGTATTTTATTTTCCTTCCATAAACATCACATCCAACGCTCATTTTCATACGAAGCATCACATTCAGTAATTATTTTTACCTCAAAAATATCAATATATATATATACACACGCAAAAGAACACACCCAACACTCCCCAATAATTTACCTGCATACTGCTAGATAAAATATAAGTTTGACCTCCCTCTTCAACATCCCATGTTTCTTCCTGTAGCATAAGATAAAATTAAATATCAATCAAGAGGATAACAGCAAAGACTAATTAAAAAATCAATGCCCAAACCTGGACAAGCTTCTCCAGATGCTCCATGAGAGTTTTCTCTTCAAGTTCCACGTATACGGTCAAGTAAGGCTCAAAGCATGATGAGATAATCCCACGAAAATTGAACTTCCAGAAATAATAGTACCAGACAATGCAAAAGAAGTTCATCATTAGTATTCCATCTCTATCTGCACAAAAGATTAGTGGCATACTCTGAACAAGCTACAGTAACATGATGCAAGGTGAATTGCCAGATAATTGATAATGAATTTTTACTATAACCATAAATTGAAATAATGACTACAAATTATAAAAGTGAGTGGAATTTGATTGCAAAACCCAAATCATGCCAACCAAGAAACAAAATCATATAATATAATTCTCTATCATTTTGTGCATGTATTGGGTGGGGGGAGTAGGACTGGATAAGTGGAGATACCCCAGCATCTGGCACCGATAATTTTTTCTGTCCATCTTGCTCCTGACAAGGAAATAAGTAATGTCAGGCAGGAATAGCATGATCTAGTTAACTATAAATTTAGGTAGCATCATATATCACGTAAACCATTTATAAGTTCATGCATACCTCATTCTCACTTCCATGTGCAGCAAGTTTCTTCTCGTATTTCTTTCTAATATCAGAAACAATCTGATTTTTATTTTCTTCCATATCTTCCCCGGTGTCATTTAATGAATCTTTGCCATGACTTCCACCACCAAATTTCTCGGCCAATTCATCTTCAAACTCTAGAGTTCGTTGCAATGCCTAGAAAAAATGAAAAACCACCACCATTGCATAAAAAATGCAAAGCTGCGACATTCCAGCAGGAAAGACAAGACCTATTTCTCACATGTAAAATTTATAAAGTGCTTTTTCAGACATTAAGAGTGACATAAATGACACAAAAACAAAATGTTGATTAACTAATCCAATCTAGTTAGAATTCTTAAGGTAAAAATAAAAAAGAAAAAGCTTTTCATCATCCTCGTCATCAATGCAAGAGCTCAGTAATAAGCTAAATGCCAGGACCTTAACAAACTTCAGGTCTAACCAGAGAGGGCAATTAAAGCCCTTACATGTGTATGATTATAGGGAGTGAGGATAGAATGTACTAAAGTTTTCAACAAAAAAGAAATGAATTTGTGAGGCTGATATTGAACTAATTTGATGAATAAATTAAACAGAAAAAAGAGGCAATAACAGAAGAATCACAAAATACATAACTGTGCGCTAGATATATTAAACATGGCAATTAAGAGAAGGAAAACAGAAGATAGGAGAAAATTGAGAGCTTTCTACAGCACCTAAAGAATCAATATACAAGGACACTGAAACTGAGTAAAAAGGTTGTTTTTCAGTTACATAGCATGTCGATTGTTCAACTCAAGAATTACAATGATAAAAAGAATAAAAAAAAACAAGTCATTACAGAATGGCTTACCAGTAATAATGTTGCAACATCTGGCTTTTCATTAAGATTGTTGAGGATGTCCACAAGTTGTGTTCTGTTGAAAATTCCAGAAAGTTTATCATTGAATTTTGTGAGTTTATAAGGAAAATTCCAGAGTTCATTAAAAGAAGTTTTACTGTTGAAGCCCGAGGGTTTACAACAGTACACAATGATTGAAGCGGGAGAGCTTCTACACAGATAATACAGTGATAATCGTAGTCAATACTTATCGCTCAAATGAATAACTATAAACCTTGTCAGCTTGCAGAATTGGATGCAGAGTAGATAGGGGACGTGCCAGGAAGGTGGAAAAATTTTCCAGATATCCTCATTAGTTCTTAATCGACGCTTGATCCATGCATATCTTCTTTCTGTTTTATCAAGCTTAGCCAGTTCTGCCATACATAATCCCAGTATCATTCTCTTAAGACATCAAAGTCAACTGTAAAACTGTTGAAAGCAATTAGAAATATTAAACTGGGCAAACCTGCTCCCTCAAAAATTTGTTGATATGATGTAAGCTCCCTACTACAAAAGCTCTTGACCAACTCTTCTCTGACAGATGGCTCCAAAGCATCAACAACCAGACAAGCATCAGACAGCTGCTGGAGTAAGTTGGGCTCTTCAGTCTCTTTCCCCGTGCCTAAGCTGAAAAGCAGATAGCAGGAGGTTTAACCAATTAAATGAGAATCAATACAAGAATATATGTAAAAAAAAGAGACAGTCCAAACTAGTTTCTCAAATAAAAATGGGCAGGCACTGAATTTGAAGATAAGCTGTGGATCCTATTTGAACAATTGAACTTATGTGGAAATAAGGATTAATCAAAACTGAATTTGTGAGAACAAGAAGGAAAATGTCTCCTTGCATTATTTCATTAATTGATTTTATTATTATATGACTTTGTTCTTACATATGATACTTGCATGCACTACTAGTTTAGTACAACATGCACTACAAATCATTCTGAAGCTAAAATCATTCTTGGTTATAAAATGATGTATCCTTCTTTACATACTTAATACACTAATGGCTCCATAAATGTAGATAAAAGGATCTTTAACATTTCAAACAACTCTTACATTGAAATATGCCTCTAGTACCAATGAAAATCGAAAAACACAAGTATTTTAGAGTAGCCAATTCATATGTGGCGTCAATACAAGTATTTAGAAATAAAAACTTTTTATCTAATTTTGTTTCTTGCATATTTATTATAATATAAAAATGGAAATGAGTTATGGAACAATGGATAAGACCCTAATCCAATGCAAGCCGCCACTGCCTCCACCCCCTCCACCTTAAAACTTAGAGACTTACAAATGCACTACAAGACAACTAACAAACTATCTTCATTAATTGTATCAAGTATTAAAAATTTTATAAACCTTTCAATTCCAAAACCGACCAAATTATTAAAAACCACTAGTATTTATTGCAAATAAAAATTGTTGACAGATGCATTTGTGACAGCGTACAGATTGATGGCAGTATTTAACTGTTTTAGGAAACAGGATACAACACCAGTTTTCTTGGAAATCCACAAATATAAAACTCATATACCTTGAGAAGTCTGAGAACACATGTGACTTAAGAATTTGTTTGATGCTTTTGAATCTTTCCCTAAGCTCTGTGATCTTCTGAAAATCTCTATAAGATTCAAAAAAGCTGCATAACTGGTTGACAGCCTGAAATTTATCCCCAAACTATGAATCCACAAAAAAAACATATAATCTGGAAAAATCATCACATGATGCAAAGAATTATCTCCAACCATAGAGCATTGGAGAGTGTGTGGAACTTATATTTGATTTTCCTAAAAATTAACTGAGCAATCTAAATTGTTTATTAGATCCAGAAAAGCTTATAAATTGTTTTAAACATTTTTTGTGCTACATTTGTGGCACCTGAAATTTCTTTTTTGACATTTTCTACTCAAGTTTATCAAAAATATCAATTCTGGAAATAAGTAGCTTAAGCAAATTATAAAAGACCTAAATCATTCGCTTACAGATTCTGACAAAATCATTCACTTCACAAGGATTCATACAAATAAATCAATAAATACGCGCATATCTACATGCCAGAGTAATTTGAACAAAACAACAGCATTTCTGCAACAAGTTGAAAGTTAATTCCAAGCTACACTCTGCATGTCAGAAATATTTGACCGTTATGCAATAATGTATACAATCAGCAAAATGTGCACACCATGTCATACCTCAAGCTGTGCAGCTGCCTCCTTGTATTGTCTTTTGGAGGCCATAACTTGGAGTTGTTCTACAGCAGACACTATCACAGAAAAGACAAGACGTACTTTTATTTTTTTTTTTTGTTTGTTTGGTTTTTCAAAAATCAGATAAAAGGAAATACAAAGTAGCTATTATATGCTATATTCCATCGAATAGTATAAAGGGTCTGTGATTTCTGGTGACAGAGAAACAATGTAAAATATGGATATGGAAACATCTGCTAGATCCTTAAGTACTCAACTATAAAATCTAAGTGGAGTGCCTCTTAGTATTGATGAAAAAAGTCATGTTAAGCACATCACTGTAGCGAAGACTGGTAAGAAGTGATTAATCTGAATTCTTAAAACAATGAAAATACTTCCTATAATACAAGATAGGAACTTACGAATAGATCACATCAAGAACTTAGGCAGAATAATCCAAAGTATAGAGACTAACCTAGCATAGTGAGGCGATGAAGGGCAGTAATTGTAGTAGTTATATGCTTCTTTGCAAAATCCAGTTTCTTGATGTCACGACATATTTCCTGAACCATCGTTTCACTTTGCTCTGCTTTGGTTTTTATTTCTTGCATTTTATTGATAAGTTCCTAAACCAAATGATTTAATTCAAATCAGCAAAAGGCAAGATTTAATAATCTTAAGCCATGTGAAAAATAGTGAACAAACGATATAATATTTAAGGAAATGGAATATATCCAGGATAGCTCACACATAAGATGAACTACCTTAACTGCAGTTGTAGCTGCAGCAAGCTCCTCCCTAGCCTTGGTCCCTGAATTGCTCTACAAAGTGATACAGCCATTAAAAAAGTATCCCCCCATAAAAAGTAGCATCAATTACAAAAAGGATATAATTATTGAGCAGTCTTTAGTAAGATATGTGTTCTATAATCAAGAAAGTAATGTTAACCACAAGGAGAAATACATAAATTGATTCAGAATACAAGTATCGAAGCTTCAATTTAATAATTTGAGTATTTTTCATTAAGGTAAAATAAGGAAAGTCATTTAGAGAAAATATAATACCCGTAAATCTCATTTTGTTTTGAAAAATCAAATAAAACTGATGGAATTTCAGAGCATGTGAAATACATGCAATATAGTACAAAGAAGGGCAGGTCAAAAACTACAATTTTACATATAATTGAACCAATGAGATCATGGAAATGCAACATCAAGAATATGAACCAAAACACAAATAAAGCAGTGTCTGAGCAAGATTGAATTTGAATTTGATTAATACTTGCAACAAGAATATAAAGATAAATGTGAACAGATCCCCAGTGAGGTGGCCACTTACATATTACCTTCACGGATAGTTGTTAAATGGATTGATCTTACCCAGACTCATTCATTGATACATTAGGCTGAATTTGAGTTTGATTAATAATATTCATCAATTCATTGATCTTAATATTTTTTATCCCATCCAAGCCACTTAACAGAATTGACAAATTTATGAATAATGATCTCTTTGTTCACATTCAGTTCATTGCGGGTAGGCTTAATACCACTAAATCTAAACTACCCCAATACATGATGTTACTTCAGTAGAAAAATGTGATGAAAATTAGGAACGATTACAAAATGTAAAACCAATATCATCATTAACAATCAAATAAAACAAACACTAGGAAAAATAATCTTTGATTCTAAGAACACAAAACTAGAAAGCATAGATACAACCTGCTGACGAACTGCTGCTAATATCTCATCGTCAACCATACGAATTTCATCCTGTATTTTTTCCATAAGTGGCTCGACTCCTGACAGGGAGGCCTCTGCAGATCAATGATCATCCCCATCATCAGCAATTAAGTATTTTGCACCATTAAATAAAACTAGATCAAGAAACCATTGCCTTAAAATACATCTTATACATTCACACAACAAAATTTGCTCTCTGTTCAGCAACTTCCCCTCAAGAACAAAAAGGTTTTACAGGCAAATCTTTCATCTTATCATTAAAGACGAAACTTTGCAATAAAAAACAAATTAGAAACCACTTCCCAAACTAATTCCAGGTAAAGGCATTTACTTGTAACCACAATATCTCACAAATACGGATAGAACTGCAAGAGATCCTACAGAGTTTCAATTTCCATAACTCAAAAGATCATACATTGCTAAATCAATTCTACCAGTATAACAACAAACGAATTCATAAATAACTACCAAACTATTCCAAGCCATCCACATCAAAACCATGAAACAGAACATCACTGTCAATATACCTATCAGCTAAAAATTCATAAAAATCATACACATGAGTTCTTGCTACATTTTAATCTGCGCGTATACGTGACCTGTGGGGAACATCTGGTTGATGTAGTCCAAAGCACTCTGCTTGTCTGCTGTCGCCATTTTTCCACAATCGAAATCCGAAAACCTATCACAATTAAATTAAACAAATTAAGCATTACAACGAACTCTAGAAGCTCAACAATTGGATCTGAGTCCTACAGTAACTCCGCAACTTTACCAAATCAAAAATGTCGAAAGAACCAACACAAATTGGAATTTCGCGTACCTGGAGTGTCCTCACCCGCCTTCGCGCCCGATGTTCGTGTTCTTCTGCGAGGTGACGACGAGACAAGCAGAGATCGTCGTCGTCTATGGCAAGCCAGCGGTGTCGATGTGTGGCGGTTCGTACGGACCGGGTCTGAGTACCATATACAGTTTATATATATAGTGAACACGGTTCGATCCGATCATTCGGATTCGGGTCGGGTCGGATAGAAAGCTGTATGAATAGGATTAAGGTTGTGTTTATTTACCACCTCTGTATACCCAAGACTATAAATATAGGTATGTTTTTTAATTTTGATTGATGATAAAAAAATTAGTCCCTCCTCCGTTTTAACAAATATTGTATTTTAAAGTCCGGTAAGGAATAGCTTGGTAGGGGTTAAATTTGTGACCTTGAGGTCATAGGTTCAAACCCCGATCCTTAGGTTACCTATTGAGTAAGTTTTTTAACTGTAAAATATATATTTATCTAATATATTGGGTAAGTTTTTTAATGAAATAATATTTCATTAAAAATATAATAAACTTTTATTGAAAATGGAGACTAACCTATTTCTTTATTTCAAATAAAAAACAAAAATGCCTACTAGTTTGTTTATTTTGTGAAGAAATAATATATATTTTTTAAAAAACAAATTAATATATTATAGACTCATTATTTTTATTATCTATACAATTGTTTATATCTCACATAAATTTATATGAACAAAAGCATTCTTCTACTAAAAGAAATTTCAACATATTTGTCGACTAATATTATAAAAAAATACAATATTATACTCCTCTATCCGGGATAATTATATCATATATTTTTTTTGAGTTGTCCGCTAAACTTATATATAATTTATTTATAATAAACAATTTTATTCACACACAATTTTATTATACTCTTTAACAAATAATAACTAATTTATCATTATATTTTTTGAGTAAATATTATTTTTTATTCTATTTTATATTATAATTATCAATTTTGAACTCACTCAAAAATTTTATTAATTTTGGTTTCATTCAAATTAAAATTTATCAATTTTAGTTTCAATGTAGTTGATAGGAATTAGGGACTGAACATAGCGGTCTTGGATAATTTAGAAAAGTGATTGAACAATCCGAACAGCCAACACGGCTGTGTTCCATTGCCCTGCACTGAACATGACCATAGTCATGTCCCCGTTCACGGCTATGTTATAAACACGCTCGTGTTTCTGCCCGTGTTTTCAACACAATTATTTTCTACTCATGTTAATGATCATATAAACACAGTTGTATATTCAATGTCAATGTTCAGGATATGGTCATATTATAAGTCATATTCATTATTATGTTCATTTATTCGTTCAAATTATATGATATATATTTATAGTTTAACAAAAGTATTTTTGCAATTATTTAAAAAAATAAAAAAGTCAAATTTTAATAGTTTACGATATAATTGAAATATATATATATATATAAATAAGTAACAAATCAATATATATTAAAATTTAATTATTTTTTATATTTTAAAATAATTGTAAAAAATATTTTCGTTGAAATATAAATATGTATATATATCAAAAAATTTGAACAAAGAAGTAAAAATTGAATATGACAAAGAATATTACCATATTCAAAACAGGACCGTGAATATGGTCTAAAACATAGTCATGTTGATAACATGATCATAAACATGAACAAAAATATGACTGTGGTGAAACACGGACAAAAATACGGCCGTATTCAGAATATGACCGTGAATAGAGACATGAAACATGGTCATATTCAATGAGGGCAATGAACATGGCCGTGTTAAATCCAACATGGCCCTGTTGGCTCTCTGGATTGCCTAGTCACATTTTTTAGTCATCCAATACGACCGTGTTCAAGTCGAAAACACAACCGTGTTCAGTCCCTATCAGCTCAACACTCGAATCAAAAGTTCAAAACAGTTCACTTCTAACACCAACCTTGTGATAACGAGGGGCATGGATCGGCTGTTGATCCAGTCAAATCGGCATGACATACGTTATACACAGGTAATCAATATCTATTTATACATATCTCAGTAAATTTATAATACAACATATGTTATGTTATAATTCATCATATGTTATATTATAACTCAACATATATTGTACTATGTGTAAATATATGTTGTTTATATGCATGACATGTTGATTTAGTCAAATCAATATCATGCTGACTTGGCCGAATCAGTAGAGGATCCGCAGCCAATCGTTTGAATAGTTAGTCAATAATAACAATGTTCTTAAAGTAATTGATAGAAATAAATTATTTGTGGTGTATCTTTTGTATTTACTTAATATTTTGATATAATATAGTGCACAAATGAATTATTTTATTTTATTTTTTATTTTTTATTTTTTTGTGAAATAGCCTAGAATTCCATGATAATAAAATTTATAAAGAAAATACTAAAATAATAATGCTAACAAAAATTCATTAGATTCAAATCTACCCAAATAAATATGACCAAAAATATTTAAAATGCATATGAGTTTGAGAGAGTAATTGGGTTTGTTTGTTTAGTGATTAAGTTTGAGATATTTTTTTTACTATGATATATGAAAACTTATACGGACAATATAAAAAATAATATTTTCTGATGAATAATTAATTTTTTTGTGAAAGAATAAAATATATATTATTTATAGAATAGATTGATAACATTCTTATATTTTAGTAAAAATACACAAATTTGATTCGTATTTACGATCAAATACCATTTTAGACGAGAAAGATATTTTGAACAAATTTTAATTCAACCCAAATGATTTCACGTAATTAATGTTTTTGTGTAATTTTACTAAAATAATAATAATAAAAAAGTATTATACTAATTTATCTTTATTTATATTATGTGGATTTGTATAGATATTATATAGATTTTTTTTTTTAATATTCATCCAGAATTGTGTCAGCACAAAATATTGGCTGATCAAACCCTTAAAATTCATAACATTCAAATTCATCGAAACCAACATAGCCTCAGCTTGATTTAAACACTACACTTGTTCTTGCAACTACATCGTACACATTCGATCATATGTTTTCCCTCCTTCAATCACAAGAACAAATTCCTGTAGTCCAAAAACCACAGGCAATCAATCGCAGCCTCACTGTCTAAAACTACTAGCTACGTAAGCTTCGAACCATCTCGACCGAGCCCGTTTTCTTGCAGTACCAAAAAAATCACTGACATTACATCGACCTACATAACGAGTCTACGCATCTTTCTTGCCCGTAAACTATGCTCATTCAGTAGTTTCTGCATATTAACAAGAAAAGTAAAATCAAGACAAGACATCCCTTTACTTTAATTACTTCGCAAGATAACCATTTGTCGCAATATAGTTATTGCATAGTTCGTATACTTGTCTTACCCGATGAGTTTTTGGACAACGAAGTTGTGCTAGCTGATGCATTTACTTCACTCTGTGTAGCTGCCGAATGATCGCTCTTGACTTCCTGCATTCGATGTTTTTTTCAGAGTGTGTTCCCTTAGTGTTTTAAAGATATATGATTCTAAAAAATATTACTCAAGAAATATAATACTTTTGCCATCCGAGCTAATTATGCCACTATGCTTGGGCGTGAAAACTAAGAAATAATAATATTTTAACATAAAAATAGGTAAAAAAATAAAGTGGGGTAGTATATGAAATTTATTAAAAAAATAATAAAAAAGTGATGGACAATTGATTATTATTTGTTAAAATAGGAATAATAAAATTATTTAATGTATAAATGAATTGTTCATAAGTTTAATGGACAACCAAAGAAGAATATCTGATATAATTATAGTGGACGGAGAGCATATAATATACTGTAATATATATATAACAATAAAAGTCAACAAAAATTCATACTTTCATAATTCTTTGTATCTCAGCAACAAAAACACTTAAACTATAAACACTAAACAAACACACTTTTAGTTCTCATAGATGCTTTTTAAGCTCCTAAATAATTTTTGTCGCTAATGATTCTTAATTTTTGACACTACAATTTAGATTAAATCTAAATTTGCATTACTTTAAGGTTTCGTTTCAAGTTTAGTTTTGATATTACGATCTACATTGGATAATTTGAGCTCAATTTGCATTAAGTTTCAATTTTTCGACCATCAAGACTCAGATAATGTGTTCCTATGAAATGTACATCTCTATCAATACTTATCATCAAAACATTGACTCATTATATAAGTTCGGATGGTCGAAAAAATTGAGACATTAGTTAATGCAAATTGAGTTAATTTTGACACTACGATTTAGATTGAATCTCGATTTGCATTACTTTAATCGACCATCAAAACTCATATAATGTGTTCGTATGAAACGTACGTCTCTATCAATACTTAGCATCAGAACACAAACACATAATATAAGTTCTGACGGTCGAAAACTTGAGACTTAATGCAAATTGAGCTCAAATTTAAACCCAATCTAGATCGTAATATCAAAACTAAACTTGAAACGAAACCTTATAGTACGATTAAAATTACCATTTATCCGATATAGAATGAGCTAAACGTAAATGTTCGAAAGAACTCACCTTTATCGAAGCAAGGCTATGGCTAGGCGAGGGCGCCGTGCTACCCCCAACGAGAAAATGGATTATGTTCTCTTCGCCAAATTCTCTCAACTTATTAAGCTCGGGCAAGACGACCTTGCCAAGATCCGGTCGATCTTTCCGTCTCAGCTCAGAACATTGAACCGCCAATTTCGCAAGAGTCGTCGTTTCTTCAATTGGCCAATCTGAGATGGATGGATCCAACATCTCTTCCAACGTTCCCTTCTCAATCGCTTGCTCGATTAGATGACTCAACCCCATCGGCGTTTTTGCCGTCAGTATTTGCAGAAGCACAATGCCCAACGAGTACACGTCGGATTTCACTCCAAGCATCCCGGTCTGCTGGTACTCGGGATCGATGTAGCAAAACGTGCCAGCCGTTGACGTCATCCGGTATTGCGTCACGTCGTCAGCGACGGATGGCGGGACGAGCCGCGCCAATCCCACGTCGCTTATTTTGCTAGTGTAGTTCTGGTCGAGCAAGATGTTCCCCGGTTTGAGGTCGCGATGGACCAAAGGCTCCGGTTTCGTCTGATGGAGAAAATTCAGCCCCGTGGCGATCTCGGCGGCGATTCGGAACCGGACCTGCCATGAGAGAGGTCGCGTGTTGCCTTTCCGAAAAAGACAGTCGTCGAGACTGCCGTTGGCCATGTACTCGTAGACAAGGCAACCGTATTCCGGGCAGGCGCCGAGGAGCAACACCATGTTCGGATGTCGCAGACAGCTCAGCACTTCGACCTGAAATATTTACCGATGGACAAACATTGAAAAAGCCATTGTCGACGAAAATAAGGTTGTGTTTTTTGGGAGTTTTACCATAGAATTTTACTATTCAAATTCTTTTTTCTTTCCAAAACTATCAAATCAAATAATTACCTTTTTTTTTTTATATTATTCTATAAATCTATTTTACATTCAAAACATCACATCAACATCTATTTATATTTCATAAAACAACTATTCAAATTCAACTTTTTACTATTCAAATATCCAAACCCAAAAATCCAGAATCACAAACAAAAATAGGTGTGTTTATTTGCGGGTTTGAATTTTGAATAGTAAAAAGTTGAATTTGAATAGTTGTTTGATACGATGTTTTGAATGTAAAATAAATTTGTAGTGTAACATAAAAAAAGAAAAATAATTGTTTGATTAGATATTTTTGGAGAAAAAAAAGAACTTGAATAGTAAAATTCATAAAAGAACACAGCGTATTAGTGATTTTTGTTAAGAAATGTACCTCTCGTTGGAATTGCGATCTTCCTTGAGCTGCATCGGGACGCAAGACTTTAACAGCGACGCGAGTATGATCAAGGTAACACTTGTAGACAGGGCCATAGCCGCCCTCCCCAATTTTGCGCGATTCGGAAAAAAACTCTGTGGCCTCTTCGATTTCCTCAATTGTGTAGCGTTTGTACCTCAATGACGAGCTCATCATGTCCTCCCCTCCGGAGGTTGGCGTGTTTTCCATGGCCGCTTTATACTTGCTTTTCTCCTGTTCGGCAGTCTGTCGAGCTGTTTCCTCAGCCAGTCGAGTCTCTTCGAGTCTGCGTTCCTCATCGATCCTCCATTGATGAAGCTCCATTGCCTACACTCAGTATAGAATCATATATTAACCGGGTACACAACAAAACTTGTGGGTTTGGATTTTTGAATAGTAAAAAATTGAATTTAAATAGTTGTTTGCTATGCTATAAATAGACATAGATGTGATGTTTTGAACGTAAAATGGATTTGTAGTATTATACTCCCTTCGTCCTGCGAGAAAGTATACATGTTTCTATTTTGGGACGTCCAATTACAATGTAAACATTTTATTAAATACCTCACTTTTTTCCACAAATACCCTTACTTTACATCACATAATTACTTTTACACTAAAAAGCAAGGGCAAAAATGTCATTACACTACTTTTAACTGCCCACTATAATTAAAATTCTATTATTTCTTAAACACCATGTATACTTTGTGTATGGACGGAGGGAGTATAAGAAAAGAAAAATAATTATTTGATTAGATATTTTTTTAGAGAAAAAAAAAAATATGAATAGTAAAATTATGTGGTAAACTCCGCAAAAGAACACAACCTAAGAACTCGAAAGAGAGAAACCATTCGATCAAACCTTTTCTTTTGCCGTTAGAGCTTCCTTGCAGGCTGTGCTATACATTTCCATGGTTTTCTGTAGCTCGAGCTTTAGCCGTCTCATTTCTGCTGCGACATCATCCTACATTTTTAAAATCGACGTCAAGTGTGAGGTGCTCGCTGCCTACAAACACTAGAGGTTTCTACGATATTCGACGTTCATTATCATGTCTAGAAAATTGTCGCTTACATTTTCCACAGAAGGCGTTGAATAATCCGTAAAGGAACTGATTTCGCTCCATTTAGCAGCAGACCTCATCGAGCCGAAGCTACTCTCGGAGCTAGTCGAAACCCTTGAAGTTCGGCCGGAATCGAATGTGTCAAAATGTAGGCTGGATCGATCTACACTTGGCCTCTCGCTTGGCGTACCTGATCCCACAAACGATATATCCGTATCTGACTCTGCAAAATCAGTGAACATGTTGGGACGGAATCGATGTCCCCTCGACATTGGCGACCTGCATCGTGTAAAGAGCGATTACCTTAACATTTCGTAACAACAATGGATGAAAATATACGGAGAGATGAGTCGGAAGAACATGTTTATTACTCTGGACATACTTGACCAAATCAGTTTCATCAAAATTAGACTTGCGCGGTGTCCTTTCTACACCTGCTCGATGATTTTGGAGTTAGACAGAAAGCTATTGACAGTATGTAATATTGGCAACACTGAATATTATATATCTTTTCAATAAAGACGACGAACCTCTCATGCTCATCAACTGCTTGGGGCGTGCAATTGGCGAAATGGTATTGTTAGACTGTTCTTGTATTTGCTGAATTTTAGGCATTAGCGGGGAAGTGAATGGCGCTTGACGACTAGCATTCCGCACCGATGATATCTTTGTTTTTGAGATGACGTAAACTGTGCAGAAATCCGGAGCTCCTTTTGCCACCAGGCTTGGAACATCGATCATTTTGAGTTTCCTGCCATATAACTGCTGTATTATTAACTCACATTTGTAGTTAACCGAAGAGCTAAAAATGTGAAAATTGAAACAAAAAATTCTGCCAAGAAGCTTCGGGTTTAGACAAATGTCATATCAAAGCTCAATGGCGAATATATTGAAGTTTCTACTTATGCATATAGAGGGATTAAAAGCGATCTAGTGCCGCTAGTGTGCCACAAGAAACAATGACATCTTAGAACAAGAAGAATTTGTCCCATTGATTCGTAGTACAGATTTTGAATCACGAATAGACAAACATACAATTTATTTGTATTAATACCATACAAACACAAGACAGACAGACAACATGCAATCTACGTTAACATAATACTCCGCAGCGGCTACAATGCTGAATTTAAAATTCATCACTGTGCTGAAGAACACGCAATGTGCTAACAAACAACACGCGATATTATTATTCGCAATACATTATTTATATTAATATAATACAAATATGATACATGATATAGTCTCGCACAACACATAGAACAGTTGATTTTAACACATAACTTACTCTTATACAACATAAGCTGCAATTATAAACAAACAACGTATACTGTGTGTAATAAATATGTGTTATTTCTATATTTTACGTGTGATGCCATAACCCTTCTCATAATACTACAATACAGCATATGAACTTACAATATATCACAATAGTCACACACAGCATGTATGTCAATTAATCTTATCACATATCACATGTTAACACAACATAATATATTGTACGTAACTGACAACACATGTTAATGATATACACAACACATGTTTTTTAACAAGAATCGTGTGCTATGAATATCATTACAATGTGCTGTTGTGGCTAATCAACGCCATAACCAGACGGCATGAATAAACATTACATGAGAAAAGAAACATTGATATCGATTGTCACATTGTTCAAAAAAGAGGAAAAGTCGAGGGGTTTCTCTTCACCTGATAAATCCATGGCGGGACGCGCCTAGAACTAAACTCTCAATCGCAGCATGGGCGACATACTCTATTATTGCTTTCGCAATATCCGTGTCATCCTCCAGCACCACATCATAGCTATGAACCTGTTTTCAAACGTAATAATAGCGCAATCAGACGAAATGAAAGTGAAGATCAAAAGATGATATGATATCCCTTTTCAGCTTACATCTTTTCTAGTGCAACAGCAATGGAATGTGATGAATAGATCTTCGGTTTGCTTATCGAGTACTTTCTTGTCCGTACCATTTGCTGCATCGATACTATTAACACCATAATTGTTGCAGTCTATGTCCAAATAATTAAAGCAACACCCCTTTTGACAAAATGCGGAAAATAATCCTAACATTAAACTTACATCCAAGCACATCATCGACATAATCTAAATCCAATACAAAATAGATTTCTAATCTAACATGATTTAACTTACATCGGGATCATTTTTTTGTGATCAAGCTATGAAATTTAGCACGCATTGTCTCCGATAAGTTTTCAGTTTCAGTTTGAAATGCGATAAACACATGTATACAATTTACAGTGTATGACTTCACAATCTATTTTCCAATCTTCGTTCCTCGACTCTAATCTTACTTTCCAATTAATTTATCAAACTCCCACATTCGAATCAGCAAAATGAATGCCCTCATGCAATAATTCATTCAACTACACAAATTTCGTGGCTGCGTCTTCAATATTTTTCATTAATTTACACTCCTCCAAAAGACCTCCATGATGAACTGATGGAGGTGTAATTGTTTCAAAGAAACTCTCTCCAAGTTTTATACATAAGCATTCTAATCCAAACAGAGACACACACATACATATTCAGAAACAAATAATTCCTCGTACACTTATCATATGATCTGACGATTCTGATCATAACATTATACCTACAAAAATGTATGAAACTAAAAAGCCAATCTAAATCAGGATATTATGCCGAAATTTATATCATAATAGTGTATGTCGTATCAAAGTTTTTAATATAATATACTCCTTCCGTCCCAATTCAAAATATCATTTTTATCATTTTCGTCAGTTCTACTTTAAAGTATCATTTACTATTTTAAAAAAAATAATCATACAATAATTCTAACGTACTCTTAACTTTTACTTAAATTACAAATCGTATCATTACACATACAATGTCAACCTTCTATTCACTTACTTTTATCTCTTAAACTACTACAAAATTCAAAGGCATGAGTAGTATTTTTACCATATCCATTTTATATTGAAAAGTATATATAAAAAATTCAGGATGACAAAATAGTATACCATATCATAATTCAATATACTGAATTTCCATATGTCATTTCATGCGGAAATATCAAAATTAAATATAATTGTATATTTTAGAGAAAAAATGGTAACAACATAAAAAAAATTAATAAAATTGGTAAAAATATACTGTATATTATCCACTGTATATTATATTTCTCCGTGGGGTTTTTCCACTCCTACTTTTGTATGCAGAAATTTTGACAGGCGAAAACCAACAATCAAATAGAAGCCATCCACAACTGAGACATTAAAACAAACACATTGTGTGCATAATTAAAAAAACCTATTAGAGTATAAAATGCGAGCACGTACGCAAAGCCGAGGAAGAGCGATGGACGACATGAATGAGAATGACAGTTTTGCCTTTGGAGAGGAGATTCTCGATGGCCCACTTGATGGCGTACTGGCTGCTTTTGTCATTGTCTATGGCTACGGCGACAAGGCCATTGCGGGTGCCCCTTTTCCCCAAACTGCTCACCTTGGAACTCGGAAGCCACATTCTTGCAGATTCGCACTCTCATCAAGGAACCCAATACCTTTGCCTTTCCCTCTGCCTCTGCCTTTGGCTTTGTCCGATCATTTCATTTGTGATTTTTATTTTTTTTCCTTCCCAGGCTCAAGTGCAAACCAAAATTAGTGTAAATGATGATTCGTTCGTTCCGTCCGTTGTTTTGGCATATTTCGTTTTGGATGATTGAGAGATGATCGAAAGAAATGTGGAGGGAAAGGCATGCCTAAATCTCTCCGGTGGCCTTTTACGACCATCGAAATATAAGTGCGTTTATTGTCGGTTGGAAAGTTTTCCTTATACGTCCAAAAAAAATCATTAATACTTTCATTTTTTATAAATATTTTAAAATTATTTTATTTGGGTCCAACAAATTTATTTAAAAAACTGATAAACGATTATAATATTTTTAAAAATTTAATTAGAAATTAAAATAGTAAGAAAAATGTAATAAATAGAGTAATAGTTGTTATAAATAATTATTGAATAAAAAAATTAATAATTAAATGCTATTTTGCTTCGTTGAGTAATAGAGTGAATTCAGGTGAACCAATAAGAATAAATTTGGACTAACAAGTATTTTCTTTTCAATTTTTTAAACTAAAATATACTACTGCCTTCGTTCGACGAGGGTCTCATTTAGATATTAATTATTAATTATTATATCAAAACGTATTGCAAATTAAGAAAAAATTGCAAAAATATTTTCATTAGTATCTTGTAATAATAATAGAAAGACATTTGTATAAAAAATTATAAAAATATAAGAATATTTTTAATGTTAAATACAATGACGTAAAAGATAAATGTGACCCTTAAAGCCGGACGGAGAAATTACATATTTATTTCTTTGATCAAACAAACTTACTTAAATTTATTTGAATAAAGAGACTAATTTAATAAGTGTGATGCACAAAAATAAATTAAGGGTGCTTTTTTTTTTTAATGAGTTTTTGAAAAATATTGGTTTGAGTTTAACTTTATGAGATATTTTGTGAGATAAAAAAAATATACTCTTTCCGTCCCGGAAGGTGGCGTTTGCTTTTTGCACATAGATTTTTGAATATTAATATTATAATGGATTGTAGTGAAAATGACGAAAATACCCCTATTAGTATTGTGTGATATAAAAGTAATGAGATTTGTGTAATATAATGTAAGTTGGAAGGATATTTATTATGTTAGGTAGGTAGTACAATTACTAAATTAGAAAATAGTAACCTTGTTTTGGGACGGACGAAAATAGTAAATGACAACCTTTCAATGGGACAGAGGGAGTATATATTTTTTAAAATATATTTAGTCCAAATAGTAAAAATTTTAAAATTTGGAATGTAAAAAAACACACTTTAAGAATATTATAATAAATTTATTAAAGAATTTATAAAAATATAATGAGATAAGTAGACAAAAAATAGTGAAATTATTATTTGTTACACTTTGGTTAGTATGCTACAAATTGCCACATGCTTATAAAGAAAGTAACATATATTCAACAATATATATTAATACAATACAATATAGAGTACATTGTATAATTTTATATAGAGCACGGTATAATGCGATTTTAGCATAATAATAAACATATTATACATTATAATACAATATATAGTTCACGCATTACATTATATCAAGGGCTTCAAATGCTGTCAGCGCCAACGTGATTAGGATGTGTTTGTTTGAGAGTTTGGATTTTGAGTTGGTATTTAAATAGTAAAATTTTAAATTTGAATAGTCGTATGTGATATAAATAGGTGTTGATGTGATATTTTGAATGTAAAATTAATTTTTAATATAATATAAAAAATAAAAAATAGGTGTTTGATTTGATGTTTTTTAAAGAAAAAAATTGGATGAATAATATAAATACAATCCAATCCCCCTGAACAAACACACCCTAAATGTATAACTATTGGAGCTAAAATATAGGAACAAAAGTAATTTTAAATAACAATAAAAAAATTAGTAGCATAGTATTAGCTAATTGAAAAATATAAAGTATAATTGTATATTAATATATAAATCATCAAAATAGTTCCGTAAAACTATAACTCTTTAAACAAGACTATTATCAGTCAAAATTTTAATAGATCCAAAAGTGAGATATTTCTCCTTTAAAGATTAAATTTTGGTTTGATTTTAAATTTATTATTTATTTATTTATTTATTTATTTTTCTTCAAAAATATCAAATCAAATATTTATTTTTTATTTTTTTATATAATATACTAAAAATTAATTTTACATTAAAAACATCACATCAAACACCTAGTTATATCAAATTTCAAATTTAAAATTTTACTATTAATCCCAAGTCAAAATGGAATCCCAAGTCAAAATGGAAAGCCCAAACAAACACACCCTCAATTTACGTTCACGTTCAAGTTAGTTGGGATTGAGGGAAGTAAATGTTAAAATGAAAAACAGAAGCAGCCGCGATCGCACCCCTTAAAACTCCGTCCAATCTACTTCTAAATTCTTCCTCTGCTGCTCGAAGAATCCTCTAAATTGGCACGAATTCCGTTCCGCACCTGACGCTGAAGGAATCCGTCATTTTCATTTAGAATATTCTCGAAAGATGCATCTATGGCCGTCTGTGAGGATAAGGGACTCGTTCAAGAAGAATTACTTGAACAAATTGGAGTCGAATCTTCAGCGGATGAACGCCGAAAAGCGGCAGAGGAGTGGAAATCAGCAGGAGCTCTTGCAAAGCGAAAAAATCGATTCGGAAAATTCCAAGGGATTGCAGATCGGTGTGATATTTAGGGAAGTACTGATGGTGCTGTCCTGCTGCTACTGCTGTTTCTGCTGCGGAGGTAAAAACAGTTTATTCATGCTTTCTTCAATATGTGGTTAATCTGTGTGTATTAATTGAAAAATCGATTGGAATGTGCGTAGATTTTTGTTAATTGGTGAAATTGGTGCTCCAAATTGATTGTTGTGCAATGTGCAATTGTGTTTGCTATAAAATTCGATATTTTTATAGTATAATTTTGAATTTAAATAATGTTTGATTTGATACAGATAGAAATTGAGGTAATTTTTGAATTTAAATAATGTTTGATTTGATACAGATAGAAATTGAGGTAATTTTTGAATTTAAAGTTTGATTTATAGTATAATATAAAAATGAAAGAAAATAGATGTTTTGATTTGTAGTATTTAGTATTGAAATTACTTACACAGTGAAAAATCTTGGAAAATCGATAAAATCTTCGGAAATACACAAAAAAATACAGATGATATTCATAGGGTTAAGTTTGTTCTTGTATGTCTTGTTGGGTTAGGAATGGATTGGTTTGGCAAAAAGTGATATTGTATTCATTTTTGATCAATTGATTTGCTACATAACTATTGCTCCTTAGGAAATTGGAAACCAACAAGAATTACCTGATGATATTGTTCATCCTAGATCAAATCCCTAAAATCGAACCTTAGGATGGGTTTGATTGTGTATTGGGATGTTTTGAATTTGTAATTTTTTGAATGAAAATAGGTGTCGGATGTTACATTTTAAATGAAAATTCCGCCTTTGCTATAATGTTTCATAATAGAAAATAAGTGGTTGATATGACGTTACGTGGAACAATTTATTTTATTGTTGAATGACTAGTGCAAAAATGAACTTGAAGACACTCACAAACACACACAACAATCATAACGTATAGAAAGATGCTCATACACCGGTAAGCTTCAAGGATTTATGACTCTAAAATCCAAAAATTGGTCCGGTCACAAAATGTTACATCTAGGGGTGTATTTAGTCGGTGATTTTTTGGCTTTTAGTTTTGATTTTTGGTTGGAATAGTAGTTTGAATGTAATCTTTTTTGTTAGAGAGAAGAATTTATGTTTATAGGAAATCGTCAATGTTTGAGTAATAGAAAAGATGAAAAAAAGTTGCTAAGTGAGCTAAGCCTTGCGCTTGCCTATGAGCAAGTTCTATACTCAAGAATGTACCTGAATTTGTTTAAAAGCCTCTTCAATTTTTTTTCCAGCTCACACAATCTTTTGGAAGCCTTTCATGACAAAAGTATTCCAAATGATGATTTAAAGCAAAAACTCTTTGCATTGTGATATACTCCCTCCGTCCCACATAGTTTGTTTAGTATTTTCATTTCCGTCTGTCTTACATTTCAAATGTTTTCCGAGCTCACATAATCTTTTGGAAGTCTTTCATCACAAAAGTATTCCAAATATGATTTAAAGCAAAAATTAGCACGGTGATATACTCCCTCCATTCTACATTATTTGTTCAGTATTTTCATTTTCGTTTGTCCTATATATTTCAAGTGTTTTCCGAGCTCACATAATCTTTTGGAAGTCTTTCATCACAAAAGTATTCGAAATATGATTTAAAGAAAAAAAGTTAGCATAACGATATACTTCCTCTGTTCTACATAATTTGTCAGTATTTTTATTTACGTTTTTTCAACATAATTTGTTTTTTTTTAATTATACACTCTAATCACATTTTAAATATCATAATCTATAATTTTTTTATTATTTTTAATTAAATTAATTAGTTATGTTAATTTTAATCTATAGTTATTTATATTATACTCCCTCCGTTCCGGTCCAAAGGGGTCATTTGGAGTTTGCTAGTAGATTAAAAATAATAGTATTTTATTAGTTGGTGAAAATGTAAGAGGTTTTGACATTTTTGCCTTCTGACTTCATGTAAAAAGTAATTGTATGTGTAATAGAATATTTGTAATTTAGATAAAAGTTAAGGATATTTTAATATTGATGTATGGTTACTTTTACTAAAAAGGAAATAGATACTTTTGAGTGGGACAGACGAAAATGTAAAAAGGTACTTTGAATTGGAACGGAGGGAGTACAAAAATTATTTTTAAGGGTGTGTTTGTTTGAGGGTTTTCCTCAATTTCCACTGATCATCAAGTTTTTTTCCCTTAAAACCGTTAAATCAAATATCTATTTTTCATTTTTTATATTCTACTAAAAATCAATTTTCCATTCAAAATATCACATTAACACCTATTTATATCACATCATACAATTATTCCAATTCAAAATTTTTACTATTCAAATCTCAACCCAAAATCCAAACCCCCAAACAAACACACAAATAGACCTTGTAATTTGTCTCAAGAGAGAACTTCTAAGAATATCCTTCATGCTAAACCTACTTACATTTTCACAAGTAATTCTTGATCCTGTATTCCTGTTTATACATATATATGTGAGTGTGTGTTTACACGCTCGATTTTGTTTCTGTATGTTCTTGCTTGTTTTGATTTGTAAACATATGCACTACAATTACTACAGATTGACAAATTCTTGCCATCTCCTTTTCCTCCTCCAGCTTGCATCGACGATGATGATGAGATGGCATCCGAAACATACTAGCAAATACAAATGGACGAAATACCATCTATGCCGTTAATTGTAAGTCTAAATGCATTTACGATAAAAGAACTCTATCAGTCTTCTAAGATATTGATTATATACATTAGTTTTACTCTCTAAAATAGGAAGTAGAAAATTGAATGTGTTTGCAAGATGTAGTTACTATATGTGTGTGTATATATATTATGGCCGCGATTCCAGTGCTGAATCGGCACTTTCAGCATGGTGCTGACAACACACACCAGGTATATAGAAGCAGCAATATAATAAAAAATGCAACATGTTAACACATAATAATAGTTCCGACTGTACATATTTTCATTAATTTCAACACATGAGATAGATATTGTTAACGCACACCGAAAAATTTAAACTGTTTATACATAGTTTAAAAGCACATGACATGTGATGTGTGTTTTAAAGACATATATATATATATATATACACTATATGTGAGGGGGTAGGGATGGCAATGGGTCTGGATAGATCCGAGACCCGACTCGGACTCGATCCATTTATTTGGAGTCAGGTCTAATTATCCGGGTATCGGATCCGGGTCCGAGTCGAGTATTGTGTACGCTTATCGGGTCCGGATTGGGTCTTGGGTCCAAGGGTAGACCCTACCCGGACCTGGACTCGATTAATATATATTTTTAATAATATAAATTATATTAAAAATATATTTTTAGTTTAATTCATTTATTTTTTATTAGTTTATTATAATATTTTTTAATAAAATATATAAATTTTATTATATATAGGGTTCGGATTCGGGTTCGGATCAAAATTTAAGAATTGTAAAATATTTTTTCGTGTCTGTTGGGTCTATCGGGTCTTTTCGGGTCCGGATATGATCGTGTCCAATTTGGGTCTCGGGTTCTGCCCCCGACTCATACCCGACTCATTGTTATCCCTAGAGGGGGCAAGGTGGGAGGGGGCTAATGGTTCCCTCCCGTTTTAAAATCATGTGTTGTCGGTATGTCTTCTTCTTTTTTTTTTCTTTTTTTTTTTTTTATCATTATTATTATTATTATTATTATTATTATTATTATTATCATTCATTAGTCTCGCTATTTGAAAGTAACTTGTAACAACTTGGAATGCTCACGAGTTAATGTAATTCACTCGACGATCTATTTAGAGATGGCTCACATTTATGTCTCAATTGTATTTATTTTTTATGTCTCAATTGTATTTATTTTCTATTTTAGAAGGACAAAAAATGAATCAATTAGAATTGACATATATATATATTAATTAGAATTGATATATATATATATATTAATTAGAAAAAAATAAGTAAATAATTACACGAGCTTGCACGATGTCTCCATGGATGATCGGGACCCGCGGTGGACATCAACTGAGTAGGTGTAGTCGTATCCCCTCGATGCTTATTCTTCTTACCTCTTTCGAACTTCTTTGCATGCCGATTAATTAGGATCAAGACGGAACTATACAGGGGCTAAGGAGCAGTTGATCCAACCCTTAAAATATAGGTTTTTTTTAGTGTAAAAATTAATAAAATTATATATTTTAATATTATTTTATCCCCTAATTTTCATTTTTTTTTTAATGTTATAGTGTAAAAAGTAATAAATTTTTTGTAGTTTTATTGATTTATACTTTTAGGTTTTAATTTTTTTTAGTAGAAATTATTGAATTTTATTAATTTTTTAAAAAATATTTCTCTAAAAATTTAATTTTTAGTTATTTTTTTCCCTTCTTTTTGTTTATCTTGATTGCAATTGAGAGAAATTGAAAAAATAATATTAAATAAAAAAATAAGTAAATTGACATTTTACTCCCCTAAATTTTAGGGATGGTTTCGTCACTAACTAAGCTCGTCTCATCGATATGCAATGGTGGACCTACGTAGGGGCCAAGGGCCTCCTCCACCCCATCTGTTATATATATATATATATATATATATTATGGTATAAAAAAGTACTAAAGCAAATGTTAAAAATTGCTAAATATAATTATATATGTATTTGTTTGAGGGTTTGACATTTAAATTTTAAATACTATAAAATTTAAATTTAATTTATCTTTTTTAATGTGATACAAATAAAGACTAATGTAATAATATAAAAATAAATTTGATTCAATTTGACTTTTTTGAGGGTGAAAAATAGTAAAAAAACCTTCAACCAAATTGTAGGAAAGAAATGATATATATATATATATAAGTTAAATTTTCTTCTAATAAGAAATGGTTGGAAACTGTTCGAACACATCTCTTTTTGACACCAAGAAGGAGCCAACTTCCCAATTTAAATTTAAAGCAGTGTAATGAACTTGAAGAAACAAGGCAGTTACAATATGGCAACACAATGTCAAAAACATATATGCATATGCACCAAAGTAATAGATGAGACAATAGTTTGTTAATCCAGTTCGGTTATAACAAATCTACAACTGGGTATATCGATTGAGGAGTAAATAATTATACGACACAACAATCAAACTCTCTGACCTGTTACGCGGTCAATGAAATAATTCACCTATTTCGTGATCACAATTTAATGTAATACAGGAGAAGAGATCATCTCCGCATGGATTATGTGATTCACTCTTTCGCGTTCTAATGCAGTAAATAAAATGGAAGAATTTTCTTTTATTATCTAATGAAAATAAAATAAGAAAACAATTAAATTAAGGGAGAACTAGCTATTAAGGGGATGTCTGGCTCAAGAGATAATGCGGTTATGACACTTGTGTTTTATCATTGATTCAATAAAGTTAGTTATTATTAAAGTATCAATAAATTGGTTATAGTTATCAACAAGCTCTGTCAATCAATTTTTCTTTACAGTGTAGGTAATTAAGGTACGATATTTAACTACCCTTAATTAAGCAAATAAATCTAGGTGTGCCCATAAGAAATATTGTCTAATCGCATTCTAATTTAGAAAAACCCAATTCAAAACAATTACTACATAAGATGAGCAATTAGATTTGATTGTCTAACCTCCGAAAAGGAACTATTCAATCCGGTTGTCACCTATTCAAGTGCGAATACAATTACGAATATTCTATCTGAATTGACTTTAGATTATCAAACAGGTACCAAAATATTCAATCAATCTAACAATCACAAATGTTATTTCTAACTAAGTTTCCAGAAGAAAAAACACATCATTAATTATTTTACGTCCCTCAAGTGCAAGCTGAGGTATACAGGTCAAAACAGAGAACAGAATTATGTGGTTTACTAGCAAGATCCCGTAAAAATTCAACAAAATGACAAATTAGATTAAAGAGATATCTGCAATGTAACCCTAATTATAGTTTTGAAAAATTCAGTTTATCCTAACATTAATAATAGTTTATAGAGTGGCGTGGCTGAATAAGTAAAAGGAATTGAATACCTAAAAATTGAAATTACTATTGAATATTCCTGATTTTTTATTCTTAAAAAATTCAAATTAAATATTTCTGAATTTTCGAATAATTTTGAAAATCCAATACATCAAGACTTTGAGAACTAAACAAATCTTACAAACTTTCGAGGAATAAAAAGTATACAAGAAGCGAAAATGAGAGGACATGTAAAAAATGAGGAATAAAAAATTCTAAACCCACAAAAAAAATTTCTATTTTCAGATTGCACCACATGCTGCAATCCGAGCAATCAGAACACACATGTTCCGAACATGAAAACAGTGTTTCTGTCGTTTTTGTTGGGGCGTTAAAATTACACCCAATTCGAAAAATCGAATCTGTTCGACCTAAAATTTTTTAGGTTCGGATTTGGGTATTTCGGGTTTGCAAAAAATCGGGTCAATTCGAATTTGAAACGAAAAAAAATAAATAAATAAAATACATGTCGTGTTCGGGTCGAATTTTGGGTTGACCTGATAATCCGAAATATAAAATTCAGGTTGGGTTTCGGATTTCGGATTTAGTATTTCGGGTTAACATGAAATTATTTATTATTGTTATTTTAATTTATAACAATTTAAATATAAAATAATATAAAAATAAAAACAAATTTTTTTAGATTAATTTGATTTTTTTAAAGATTTCGGGTCGAGTTTGTTCGGATTTCGGGCGGCCTATCACTAAATCAATTCAACTTAAACCTGACCCGAAAACATTCGTGTCGTGTTCAGATCTAGAGTTTTGGGTCAAATTTTGGGTTCAGAGTGACAGTTTTTGTGGTATCCCAATTGTTCAACTCGACACGACACCCCTAGTTTCTACTATTTCTTCTTTTTGGTTATTTGTTCATTATTTTATTTCTGCTATAGGATTGGCTATTATATTGTAGATGGTTCAATTATTGCTATCCGTTTTAGGCTATCCGTTCAATTATTGTTGTTGAATTCAGTTTTGCAATTTGAGAGATCATGTCGGATGGACGGAGAAAGACCTTCGAACTATCAGAGAAACGCAACTATTAATTATTTATCCGTCCCCAACAGCTTCCTCGTGGATCAGTTCAAGACACCTACAGCATAGAGAGATCGGAGATAAGTATCTATGGCGGGGGAGGTAGCCGTAACGATGGCAGTGCAAATGCTGGGCGAACTTGCCAGCCAAAAGGTGTCATTAATGCTAGGCGTGGAGAAAAAGGTGAAAGAGCTGCGAGACGAGCTCGAGAAGATGCAGAGTGTCCTTCGACGAGCTGCCGATAGGCCGACGGACGATGAGAGGGTACTCAAATGGGTATCCGACATCAGAGACATCGCCCACGACACCGAAGATCTGATCGAGTCTTTCTCCGTCAACGTCGTCGACGCCCCTCGGCGAAGACGAGGAGCGCTGCTGGGACGGTGTGCTTCGTTTCCGGTGAAAATGTACCAATTGTTCATTCTGGGGCATGAGATTGAGTCTATACAGAAAAGGCTCGAACGCATGGACGACATGCGTGCGAGGTATTGATGTACCCATTTTTTTTTTACTTGGTTTTATTTTAGATTTGGAGTTTCTAAACCTATAAATATCTAATTTTTGCTTTTGTATGTATATATATATATACACACTCCCTCAGTAATTTTTTTTTTTTTTTAAGTAAAGAAAATGTAGAAAAATTAGTATTTTTTACTTTAAAAAAAATGAATAAATTTGAATTATTGAAAAAATATATTTTAATATTAAGCAAACAATAATGCTGAAATTATAATTTTATTTCAATCATAAATTTTAATTTTTACTCTAATAAGTATATCACTACAACAAAAAATCATTTTTGTAACAAAACATTTTTGTCTCTAAATCTACTTTTTCCGTTACAAATAACATTAAAGACAGAATTATGAATGAAATTACGTACGTTAGCTACGTGAACTTTAGGGACGAAATTCCGTTACAAATATATTATTTTTTTTTGTAGTGTTCATGTGTATTCTCTTTTATATTATTATATACAAATTTTATATTTATAAATTACATTCAATTTTAACTTTTTATTACCATAAATATCTCTTTTCGAAAAATAAATTTATATATCCCTCCCTAAAAAATAAAATTATATATTATTTTATAAAAATCAAATTACATTACTTTTTTAAAAAATAAAATTATAGGATACGTTTAGAAAAATAAAAATACATATTATTTTTCAAATAATAAAATTATATACTCCTTCAGTCACAAAATTATAGTCATAGTTGTGTTGGACACAATATTTAAAAAATATTTATATTATATTGGTAATATGTAAAAATAATGGTAAAAGATTTTATTTTTTTCTCTTGTGTAAAAAATAGTAATAATAATAAAAATATAAGAGTAATTTTATAAAAATACGTTTGTTTATGAAAATCAGATAGTTGTTATTGGAATCGGACAAAAATTATAAACAAAATTATTGCATTGAAAAATTATTAGTTTTCAAAAAATAAAATTAGACAACACACGAAAAAAAAAAAAAAAAAATTACAAAAATACACAACTTAAAAAACAAAGTAATGCACAGTGTTACTCCATGCATTGCTCCAAAAATGGAGTAGAAAATATGGTTAGGTTGGAGCCCAACCCCCTCAAAATCAAGCCAATTGCATTTTTGCAGTGAGTTGGAATTGCTCTAATAAAATACTTTCGATCAAGTAAATTGTCTCTTATTCGTCTATCTCGGTTCGTGCATAAAATCAAGCCAATTGCATTTTTGCAGTGGGTCGGAATTACTCTAATAAAATACTTTTGATCAAGTAAATTGTCTCTTATTCGTCTATTGCATTGGCATCAGGTATCCAACCCCGAGCCTTGACGAGGCGAGTCCGGTCTCATCCAATGGCATTGAGCTGAGGCGTCGTGTGTCACCGTGGCATCAAGATAAGCACGTGGTGGGCTTGGAGGGACATGTCGAAACTATACTAAAAAAAGCAATTTTGGTGAAAAAGGGTGGGCTCTTTATTAGCAGCATTGTTGGTATGGGCGGTGTGGGAAAGTCGACGCTTGCAACCAAAGTATACAACGATGCCGCCATCCACAAGCAGTTCGAGCAGAGAGCTTGGGTCACTGTGTCCCAAAATTTTAACCTAAAGGAGCTGTTAAAAACGCTGTTGCTACAGCTAAAGAAAGGCGAAAACATGGAGAATTATCCGGTGGAACACTTGGAGCAAAAGGTGAACGAATGCTTGAAGGGCAAACAATATTTTATCGTGTTGGATGATGTGTGGCAACAACAAAGTTACGAGTGCATCGTGAGAGCTTTCCCCGACGAAACAGGTATATATATATATATAAATATATATATTCATCCAAACTTATATCTCTTCCATTTATCATTTGAGGTAGTATTCTTACAAATAAGTGCTTTTCATGTTGTTCTTGGGACGTAACTTACATAGGTTTACAAGACGAAAATTGAGCCATACCAAAAAAAAACCAGATAATCATTGTTGGCTGGGAAAATTCAATTCTGTCTTCAATCCCATAGTAATACAATTTTCTTTCTTGACAAACATTTCTACTTAGTCTTGCAATTATTAAATCGATATTTAAATACAAAGACATTCACTTTCTTCATGGTCATTGGTATACTAAAAATTCTAATACATGAAGACATATGGCCTCACTTTTATGTTCGATTGAAGAGTTAGAAGCTCATGAAATACTTTATTTCCATCTGTTTTCGTATTTGTTGAAAATAATATGTTAACCTTTATTTCATGTGAATAGATAAAGCAAGTAGATTGTTGATAACAAGCCGTTATCACAACATTCCGAATGCTGCTCGATACGTTCATGAGTTGAAAGGTCTAGATCCCAATCAAAGTTGGGAGTTATTCTTGAAGACGGCTTTCGTTGAGAACAAAGATGGAAAATGTCCAAAAGAATTGGAGGATATTGGAAGAAAAATAGTGAACAAGTGTAAAGGCCTACCTTTAGCAATCAGTGTAATGGGAGGCCTGTTGTTGAACCAAGGACAATCTGTAAGTGGTTGGGAAAGGGTGTGGAAAGGAATGACAACTCATTACGGAACACAAGATCATGATATGAATGCCATTTTGGAGTTGAGTTATCGGGATTTGCCTTCACATCTGAAGTCCTGTTTCTTGTTTTTTAGTTTTTACAAGGAAGACGTCAAAATAAATGTGAAGACATTGATTCATTTGTGGATTGCTGAAGGTGTTGTTCCCCGAGGAGAAGGGGAAGAGACGATGGAGGAGGTGGGAATGAATTATTTGGATGAGTTAATAAATAGGAATATGGTTCAAGTCTCCATGGTGTCAGCTGACGGCCGTGTTATTTCTTGTCAAATGCACGATCATCTTCGTGATCTATCCATTAGAAGAGCAAATGAAGAGATGAATGTTGACATTGTAAATGATGAGAATAGTTTGGAGGATCAACGCCCGGTTAAAGTTCGCCATCTTGTGGCTTTTGGCAACATTGAGAGGGTTGTATCATTGAGAACTCGGAACCCTCACCTTCGTTCACTTATCTTTCATTCATCCACGCGTCATTCTATTATTCCATCTAGTGTATGGAAGAGGCTCGGAGAGCGGCTTAAGGCACTTGAACTAAGAGATTTTGAAGTGACAAAGCTTCATAGTAGAATTGGAAAGTTGAGTGGATTGAAGTACCTTCATTTATCCTGCTTCGAAATGCAAAAACTACCAAGATCATTAGGCCGCCTGAAGAACCTTCAAACACTTAGAATTGATAGAGGAATGGATCTTGAAGTCCCTAATGTCATATGGAAATTGGATGGTCTTCGCCACCTTTATATGCTAAGGAAGATCATCTGCAAGGAGCCTTTGAGATTGGACACACTGAAAAATCTGCAAACATTGGTTGGCGTTTCGACCAAGAATATTGTTGTTGACCATCTAGCGAAATTGGTGAATCTACGAGAATTGTCTCTGATAGTGGGAGAAGATGTTGATAAAATCTTCACCTTGTTGGCTACTTTGAAGAAACTTGATGATGTAGCTTTGGATTGGTATTGGAACGATGATCAAAGACAAATTTATTTGTTGAATGAGATTGTTAATTTATGCGCCGTATCACAACTTTCAATCTCCGGAAAGGTAGTAGAGTTGCCAAATAGTTTCGCTCGCAATATTTCTCACTTGACTTTGTGGTATAATCATCTCACTCAAGATCCAATGCCAATGCTCGGGAGGTTACCGAATTTAATCTCCCTCAATTTGCATAATAATTCTTATGTTGGCGAGAAAGTCGTAGTTTTGAAGTCTGCTTTCCCCAAGCTCAGAGTACTCCGTCTCCTCTATCTGAGAAGGTTGAAAGAAATATACATCGCGAAGGAGGGAGTGCCAATGCCACAACTCAGAGAATTAGAAGTCAAATGCTGCCGACATTTAGAGATCATTCCAAAGGAGGAAGAGATGATGATATTGAAGAGTCTCCAAATGTTGAAGATATCGGAAACAAGCAAGAAAATTGACATCAAATTCAAAGGCGACGACTACTCCAGTATACTCTCAAAAATACCTTATGCAGTAGTAACGACTGAGTTCGTTTAATGATTATTTTGTTAATCATCTGATTTAAACATTTATTGAGTTTTTCAGACTACTCTACATTACTTTTTGTGGTTAATCATTCTCCTCTTCAACCCCAATTCCAATCTAATTCCAAGTCCAAATTTTCAATTTCAGTAGTATATGGAGTATTATATATGTCACAATGGAAATGAAGCTCGTCACTTTTGCCTTATAATCTCCCTGCAAAATATATCTCACGTGTTTACAAAAGTCGCTATTTATGTCATTTGTCCGCGCGTGACATTCACACCGCGCGCCCTTACGCGCAATCACGCGCGGCCAAATGATAGAAATAGCTACTTTTGCAAACACCTGGGATATATTTTGTCAGCTACATAATAACGAGGTTTATGTTTAGGATATTTTTTTGCAATTTTCCCAATAAATAAATATTATTGGTGTGTTTATTTTGTTGGTTATTTATTTGTTAGTTTTAAAGTGAAACAATTGTTATAATATTTTGTATAAAAATTCGAATTTTATTTTATAGGAAAATGTAAGTAAATAGTATCATTAAAAATCTTAAATAAACACACCCTGTATACTATATCTAATTTATTTTCTACTTTTGTTTCTACTACATTTAAAGAGTATGTATGTGGTCATATATAATTATTTATGTCTGATGCTAATGGCCGTCTCACCTAAAAGCTCGAATTTTTAGGGAAATTAAGCCATTATTCATATATCCGCAAATGGGAGTCCCCAACAATTTATATTTTTAGAAATCAATTATCTTATATAAAAATAATATCTCTAATGATTTATTTCATAATATATATATATATACACTAGTGCAATCAGTATAATAGCTGTATTTGGATTGAGAATACTTGATTTGTGAGGGAATAAAAATCTCTAGAAACATTACATGTCCTAAGATTAGAACATAAAACAAATAATGCATATAAATATAGAGATTCAAGTAAAAATATGAATATGAATGGTGACTCCATGGAATTACCTCTGGGAACTAATGGCCTCTTTCATTTCAACTCTTTAGTCAAGAATTTAGGGGGTGTTTTTTTTTTTTCTTTTATTGAGTTTGGAAAAAATTGATTTGAATTTGATATTGAAATAATATTTGATGTGAAGCTTTTTTTTTTTTTTTTTTTTTTTCAAAAAATCCAGAATCTATTTTCATTCTACTCACTATAGCTACCCATATCTAGATACTTCATTACGGCATCAAAGAGAATTTTAAATCCGACTGATATACTCTAGTTCGATATCATTGCTGGATCTGGCAGATTAAAATTGGGGATCTTGCATAGGAGTAAATTTGAGCGAGATGGTAAATATCATACAGAGAAGATACAAAAATCTTTACTCTCTTCGCTCGAGCCACGGCCCCTTGATGATATTGAGCCAATTTCAACACGAAGAATTTTGAAAATCCAAATAGAATACATCAAGACTTTGAGAACTAAACAAATCTTACAAACCGCTGAGAAAAAAAACTGAGATGTCGTCCCGTAAAGGGGTGGTCGGGTGGTCTGGTGGTCAACCTGCCGCACATGGTTTGCCTAGTGTGATTTGTCTTGTTCGATTGTAAATTTATCCAGAGTGCCCTCGACAAGAAGCGAAAATGAGAGGAAATGTCCAAAACTGAGTCAGATGTGAGTTATTAATATTATTATTTAGCTCACTCTCTACCACCCTCTTGTGGTGATTGTAGGCATTCAATACTCTTTTTCAAACTAAGAAAATGAAACAATTGACTGATTGCTGCTTGAACTGCCCAAAAAGTTATATTAAGAATTATGCACAAGTGATCGATCATTCACTTAAATTATGACATAGAGAAGATTGGAGATAAGTATCTATTGCGGCGGAGATTAGAGACAAGTATCCAACTTGCCGGGTCGGGCCAGCCCCAGTTGTAATTTTTAGTTTTTTTTAAATAAAAGTTTTAACAGTTATTCCCTTCGTCCACATAGGAAGTAAGCATTTAAAAATAATTTATAAAAGTTTATAGAAAAATATTATTCTCTCAGTCCATATAGAAAATAAACATTTATTTTGGTGCAGTGTTTAAGAAATAATAGTATTTTAATTATAATGAATAGTTAAAAGTAGTGTAATACTTTTCGTTTAAAAAGTAATGATGTGATATAAGGGTATATTTACTTTATGATTTAGACGTCCCAAGATAAAAATATGTATAATTATAGCTTTGACGGTTTTTTTTTATAAAAGCTGCTTTTATACATATTCATCCACACACATAATCGATCTGCTTCTACTTTCGATTTCTACTTATTTTTAAGTCAATCCAAACGAACCCTAACAAATTATAGAGAATAAAATTCTAAAACACCCGTCGCCTCCGTACCATTGTTCGCGCCGTCCACCAACTGCACGTTGGAATGGAGCTTCAATGTGATCATTACAATGTTTTAGGGTTGTCATCCGGCGACGAAGGTGCCAAGTTTTCACAACAATAAATAAACAAAGCATATCGATCAAAGGCCAAGGAGCTGCATCTAGACAAGAGGTCCGATGATCCCAACGCACACGCTGATTTTCTAAAGCTTAAAAGTCGTATGAAGTTATCAGAGACGAAAAGGCTAAGAAACTATTTGATGATCTACTCAGAGCCAAAAGGGAGAAGCTTCTTCGATGAGGCTCAAAGCGCCGGAAGATGATGTCGGATCTTGAAGAAAGGGAGAGCACAGTCTAAGGAAGATAGAACAAAGAGAAAGGAGGCCGATACATCGGCAATTGGGCAATCCGGTTGGCGCTGGATATCAGGCATTTGAAGATTCGGTGCTGGAGAAACTAAGAAAGGCTGCTAAGGAGAAAAAGTGAAGTGTCGAAAGGGAGCATTGCATTGAAATAGAAAATTCGAGTAAATCGCATAACAATGTCGACCAGTACAATCGAAACACACAAGGAAATTGATTGAAACACACTGGATTAGGGTTAATGATCGAATAACAAACAAAAAAATAAAGAAAACACAGATTTACGTAGTTCACCAACAACGCGTTGGCTAGTACACGGGCAGAAACGGATAACAGATTTACTGAGGACGGCTTGGTTACATATAACAAATTTTGTATCCCTAAATCTATTTAAATAAACCAAAAGAGGACATCAGATGGGCTCAGTCCAATACCAACTCCACCCGGACAAAGGGAACTTCGCCCCGCTTAACCCCCCGACTCGCTCACCGGACAGCGAGATCCCCGTAAAAAACTAAGCGAAGTGGCAAATTAGATTCAAGGCATATCAACACAAACCTTGTAGAGGAACAGATTCAGATCCTATCGTAAAGTAACAGCTTCTTCATACTCAAACTTTATATCAGTATTTCTTTCAAAAATAAAATATTCTGGTGGCCTAACCAATTTGTCACCTAAATGAGCAAATCTATATTAACACAAAGAGGAAATTAAAAAGAGTTCACGGCGAGGCAAGAGATTATCATTTCCAATTGAAGCATGCGAAATAGTATGGAACCTATATAAAATTTGAATCGACTAAAAAATAAATTCACAGGTATTCAATAGTACGAGCTGAGATACTAACATGAACCACTCCAATTACCTTCACAATGACCAGAGAACCAAATGAGAATTAGCCTACAAACCATAGCCTGTGACCAAGTCATTAAACATGCAGCTGCGCAAACTGTTTGGTGTGTTCTTTTGTGAGTTTTACCAAAAGATTTTTACTATTTAGATTTTTTTTTTCCTAAAATTTTTTTTATATTATACTATAAATTTATTTTACATTCAAAACATCCATCAACCTCTATTTATATCACATCAAACAATTATTCAAATTCAACTTTTTACTATTCAAGAATCTAAACCCAAAAACTAAAACCCACAAACAAACACGGGGGAGGGGGGGGGGGGGAGGAATTAAAACATGTAACGAGACAAAGACCGAGTTGGGACGGATAGTTGTCGATGTTGTGACCTGAATGGATTGTATGAACAGAACAAGACCCTTGAATCATTGCAGGCCAAGTGTTGGCCGAGGTTTTACAACATTAAGAACCCCACGAGCAGTTGCCTGTCAACAAAAAAAACAATTAAAGCAAATCAGGACAATGCAGCCAGAATCGACAGTTTGGTAATCAAAATCTGAACAAACTTTATTGATCCACTAAATAGTAGTTCTACCGGGATTGTTTTTTTAAAGAACCCAACAGCTTAATCATCATGCATCCATTATTCATTGTTGAAAGTCGGGATTACATTTATGGATCTCGGAATATGATACAGCCTTACGTTGTAATATTAACCATCAATTTGTGTTCAACATTTGACAAAATATATATTTCAAGGCAGTTGTTACTATGTCGACTATAATTAATTTATACTACAAATACAACACATAAATTGATAATACAAGATTGTAGTCCATAGAGCAAATACTACGATTGATTTCGACATACAAAGTATATTAACACTACACACATGAAATATAACAGATACTACATCTAACAATCTATACAACATCTGCGGGCTAGTTTATTTTCATGTGTTGTCGGTTATATTTTCATGTGTTGATTACGGCTAATCAACATGGTGTTATTAGCCTCAAATCAGCACCCTAACTTTCATAGATCGAATTGGCACCCATGTCACTAACCATTCCCATATTTTAAATGTAATTAGTATCCAAACAACAAAATGCACTACTTACACTAAAGACACTCCTAATCCAAACAAGATTTCATAAAAGTTTACCTCAAAGAAAGAATTGAAATTGAGCCTCAAAAGGAAGCGCCGAAGGAATGGAGCTCGCTGACTGCCTGCAATCCGGCTGCTGCGAAGTATAGTGTATAAAGAATTTGATTTCTTATTGAATTCCTGCATCAAAGACAGCATATTTGATTTTTTCCTCGCATGTTCAGCCATCAACTTGCAAGTAAAAGTCTTACCTCAGCTATGCGCTCCAGATCTGCAGTGCTTTCTTTATTGTCTTGACTCTCGATCATCCAGCAAAATTGCAAACAGAGTTTCATTATGCCATCCAGAATCCGTGACACGGAACCGATATCCAAGAAAGATTGTGAAATTAAAGCAGATAAATACCTGCAGTGATGGAATATGTTCAAACTTCAAAGATAATATAATACACTTTGTTGGTATAAATCAAGATTTCATAGATTCTTGATATATATATCTATATATATGTATATGTATGTATATTGACCATTTGAATAAGATAGGGGTATCATTAGCAATCTCAATACATGCAAAACAAAAAGAAAATAATCAACTGATTAAAGCATGATGCAGATTAGAAGCATCAATATCACTTACTCTTGATGGAAGCCCACCAGTTCAGTAAAATCATGAGAATTCTGAATGTGAGACTGCAAAACATTCCACTGAGACTCGATTACGTCCACCTGGTAATTTAAACAAGCATGGTTGAATAATTCAAGATTTGGAAGGAATTTTTTAAAAAGGAAATATATAAATATATACACACACACAGAGAAAGATACATGTGTCCGACCGTAACTAGGGTTTGGAAAAATTACCGAATTTTTAAAATACTACTCATGCTGTACTGAAAAAATACCACAAATATCAAAATTTCGTTATACCAAAATTTCAATATGATATGATACCGTACTTGAATTTTTTAGTTCGGTAATGATATGTAGTTTAATATTTTGATATATATCAAGATATTGAAAATACTGTATACTATTTGATATATTGAAAATACCATATAAGCAATTCGATATACCAAATTATCAATACAATACGATATATACTGCAATTTTCCATACCGATTTTTGGGTACAGTATTGATATAGTAAAGTACCATAACAAAAATTTCGATATGATATACGATATACATTATAAAATTTGGTATACCGTACCGAACCACCCCTAGTAACAACACATCAATGACTCTAATGATCACTTCGAGCCATATGTAACAATGAATACAGGATAGGCGGATACTGTAATTGTATACAACATCCATCAAGGGAAATAGGCAAGGCTATTATAGAAAACCAGGAGAAAGTGTGACATATGCACTCGACTACAACTCAGTAATTTCAGTATTTTGGCTTCACTTTTAAGTTGGTTGGTTGTCTTATTTTTGCAGGAAACTACTGAACCACGAACAAACCAGTCATTATAAAATTACCATGCGCATACCTGAATATAGAATTGAAGATTTCTTATTAAAAAGGCCATGTGTTCTCTAACACGCCACATTGGCTTGAATCGTTGCCGTCTCTGTTGGGACGGAGAGTTCTTCAAACCATCGTTGAGCCGTTTGGCAAACTCAGAATGATCTTGATGCATTGCAGAAGCCCAAGACTTTTCCAATTCCATCTGAGTCCGTTTAAGTCGAAGCAAGTACTGGAAGATCCTGAGATACCTAATCCAATAGGAAAAAGCCACTCAGTTAGTCATTCAAGACTGATGCAGCATTGCCGAAAAAAAAAAGGCAGACAAGCAATTTTGTTTAAATAACAAAGCTGACGAAATTGATGAATGGCTTACTTAGAGAGCACTTCCTGGGTAAAGAACAACTGTAGAGGCCAGTCAATAGAATATTCAAGGGCAATGCCATCCCAACCATCAATTGGTGTCCGCACAGAAGCATCTGATGGGACACCAGAATCCCCATCAGAATGGGCTCTTGCCTTTGGCAACTCAACATGGGAGGATTTAACTATGACTCCTGGCATTCTAGAAATGGTTTCGAAAAAAAAAAAAAAAAAAAATCAATGATTGGACAAAGTTGTATTGACTTATGCACTGTTAAAAATATGCATACCGCAGAGTCACTCTGGAAAAATACTTATCTTCGTCGCCAATAGTCTTTATTGCAGCCTACATCAACATGAAATTTGCAGTTAAATACAATATAAGAGGATACAACAGATGGTTGCAACTAAAGAGAAAAGTCTGGCAGACCCTAAGATTATATTATATACTGTGCCATCTCATGGTGATAACAGGTAATAAAGCGAATCAATTTGTAGAAATTTTTTTTCACAGATTACTGTAAAGTGTAAACAACTTTGACAGGATCCCTTTTGAGATTCGAGTTGACAGTTAGGGCAGTGCAAATTTGATAAACTTCAAAACCAGTAAGCCAGAATTTGATCAATAAGACTTTTACCAATTTTATTATCAAACTCCCAATATATGATCCGTATTCTATTTAACGAGGCATAAAAATAATTTAGGGTGTGTTTGTTTGGGGGTTTGGATTTTGGATTGGGATTTGAATAGTAAAAATTTTGAATTTGAATAGTTGTATGATGTGATATAAATAGGGTTTGATGTGATGTTTTGAATGTAAAATTGATTTTTAGTATAATATAAAAAATAAAAATAGGTGTTTGATTTGATGTTTTTGGGGGGAAAAAATTGGATGAATAGTGGAAATCCTCCAAAATCCTTCAAACAAACACACCCTTAAAGAACCCCTCTGATCATTCAGAAAAGTACAGAATCATTTAATTGAATTTGGAAAAGAAAAATCAAAATATTTTATTTTTTCGAAGTTTGAAAATGAATAATTTTAAAATGAATTACCAATTTAGATATGTAGGTATCATCTTAGGAACAATTGTCTCTCCAATGGAGATGAAACTATGAGATAGTTATACCACACGCCATGTAAAAAATATCCACACATGAATATGAAATATGAATAAATTGCAAAAATCTTATATGGTGGGATATTTTTCGTGACTAGAACTTACTAACTGAAACGGAACAAGAAGATCAGCTTCAGCTGTGGATTGACGAGGTGGTAGACGCATCAGCTGACGACTCTCCTCGAGAAAACTCTATCATGTAACAATATCATCTGTCAATATAGTAATGCATGTTTAACTAAAGCTGAATAGTAAAAACCTTCCATGGAAGCTTAAATGTGAGATACAGTTGAAACTCATTCTATCAGCTTTCCTAAACTAAAACACGACTCTGAATTCTAATATGAAGATGTTGGTGCTAAATATCTTCTGCAAGCTTACATAGAATTCTTCCTTTAACCACATAATATAAATATATATATATATATGTAAACACATACATACAAATAAACAACGCAAAGGAGTTATTGGAAGCAAATTTCACACAGACAGGAAGGGAAAAAAAGAACTTATGATAAATTTCGCTACCAATGGTGTATCTAAAAGATGTATAGACAGTGAGCATTTCCAAAGAAGAATGCCTGAGTTTTACTCTATTTAAAATATATGATCAAGAACATATGTTTGCCACAGACACCACAACAGAAAGAATAGCTCCCATTGTAATCATTCACCATTACCTGGAAAAAATCACCTTTTGCTAAAAGGAAATAATCTTTAAGTGCTTTCAAGTGTCCATTCAAGTCAGCACGCACAACAACAAGCTGCAAATGTGGCCAAATCAACAAATTGTTTTCCCCAACAATAAAGTGGGCAAATGTTTGCAATAAGCACCTGCCAAAGATTATTAGCTGCAATAGATTTGATTGATTCAATCGCAGTCTCAAATGATCTCTTATGGAACTCAGATGATTCCTGCACATGATAAAGGGAAAAAAAAAAAGAAAGCTGATAAGAAAACAGAAAGGAACATCAATATGACATTGGTTAGACTATGCTGCTTCCTAAACCCCAAAAATTTGGCAGCACTCAAATGTTCAAAAAGGGATATAGAACCTTCAAGTCTTGAAGCATTGCTTCAATTCTGTCAGCCTCAGTTTGTGGAAGCAATTCTTCTCCCGTTAATATGGCTTGGACAGAGCTTTCCCTCTGTTGAGGAAGCCTACCTATAAGTCCTGGAGCCCTCTGTGATCCTTTTTGTATCTGATGATGAGGTGGTGCGCCCTGAAATTTGACAGCAAGACTTGGATTTCGAAGAACCCTGATAGCTTTCCCAGCAAATAGAATAGATTCAGCAATGTGCATTGGGATGTACTCAGGAAGCATATCCTGCAAGTGACAATTCAAATTTTCATTTTTCTTAGATTCTAAAAGGCACGCAAACGTCAAAAACTATCGGATTTCATTAGGATTTATATTAAAAATATAGGTCTATACGGTATGCTCCTAATGAAAGGAAACCACGGAGAAATGAGTTCTACAGTTTGAACTGCTTCATGTAAACAACAAAGCAATACAAACTTTGTATCAATGTCTATAATGACTCAGTCCTACGCTCAAAACATGTGTATAAGAAATGCATTATTGACAAAGAAAAACAAAGATAAACATACCAGAGAAATATAGAAGCCTAGATGCCAATCAGTCAGAGATGCATCACTAGTCGACATGCTGGCAAACTTCTCAAGTATATTTGCAGGTGCCTCACGGTCTGAATCACCACTCTCTTGCCTTGATGACAAGTTGCATCCAGCTCAGATATATAAGCTCATGTTCTAAGCTATTTGAAAATAAACCAAAGCACTCACTATTACCTAACGAAAAATTCTCCATACTGGTCATGAAGGATACCATAAACCATCCATGATGTGAGTTGATTATACATGACTTGATGCCCGTGCCATAAAAGCCTGTTTGTAAAAAGAACATTACCCGAATATTATTCCAAGTCAATAGAAACTGAATACTCCGCGGTGGTGTATCAATCCCCTTCAAATATCATTTAATATGAGACCAGATAGGGAGGACAAAATGACCAGTGATAGAAGTTTGAAATCCCTCGAGCAACTTTCTTACAGGAGTGAGCAATTAGTGCCTAAGATCAAAATTCATAATATGATAATACTATCCATATCAGACTTCGGATAAAATACTATCCGAAAGAGCTTAGCATAAAAACAAAGAGCCAATCAACATCACAAGAGAACACACAACTTCACCACCATCCAAGTCATATATTACACGCTGATTTATCTTGTGATGTTGTCAAAAGTGACTGATTTATCTCAAAACTGAAGATATAGAAGTCCAAACTCCAGTATAAAGGATATTAGCACAGCATCAGAACTGACTGCTTTACCTCACATTCTATAAATTTAAAAGTAATATATATTTTTTGTGTGCAAGGTATACTATGCTAAATGATGTATTCCGAAAGGTACGTAACGGCTGTACTTATATATCTCATTTACTATATGGAATAGATCTTGATAAGTAAAGCATACCTCTGAATGCACATCTGCAACTCAGGAACCCCACAATGGCAACGTTTGTGCAAAAGATTGAGAAGTTTTCCTCCACAAATGTTATCACGCTCAATCTCAAAAATGAGCTCGTAAAGAGGTGGCAGCAAAACAAAGAACTAATACAATTGCAAAATTTGATTAATATTAAAATTAGGCAACAAAGAAATATCAAGAATCAAAAAATATATATACATAACCTAACTTTATATACCAATTGATAATGATTTTGATGCAATAAAAAGGTGAATTCAACATCCTAAAGCAGTTAGCTTAACATGTGGTTTTAAAAGAAGATGAAGGAAAGAAGAGAATGCAAAAAATAAAAAATAAAAAGTAAAAATACAACAGGAACGAACAAATTCTTCAGTGAAAAGCTATTATTACATAACCAAAAGCAAGTCGCCCATTAAAATGAAGATGAAGCAAGTTACATTTTATCGTATCAATGGAGATGATAGGAAATATACCATTTCAAAGACATTTTCTTGATTCCACTGGAAAGAAAAGACTTATGTTACAGTATTTTATGCTTTTTCGGTTTTTCCACATTATGAATCACATGTCCAAGTGCTTAAATAGAATAACAACATGAGAACACACCGAAAACTGAATCCTAGCATTAACTACCTAAGGCTAAAGACGGCACGAACGAATAATTTCAGACCATCATAGCTCACAGACTCTGAGTTGAATTACTTAAATCTTACCTTATTGAGTCCTTGTGTCACAGTTGCCAAGATGGGCAGAGCATCAGACAACAACTTCTGCTCAATTTGCAAAACACAAGATCTGTAAACAGACAATACTTCAACGATTCCATTTGCCAGTGCCCTCCTATACACACTAGGCGCTTTATTCCCTTTCGACATTTCCATTGCGCTTGACAAAGGAGACTCTCCCGAAGATCTTATCCAACTCAAGTTCCGTGATTTAGCAGCAACACGTTCAAGCTCTCTGTAGTAAAATCCTAAGGTAATAACTCTCTCAATAACTTCCCTGCAAATTTAAAAACAAAATATGATGCTAAAACCATTACAAACTGTAGGAGAGAACTAGTTTATTAAAACATGAATGGCAATTTTTTACTAATTCAGTAAGATTTAACCGATTAACATGTAAAACATGAATATTAGAATCAGTTGCATAACTCTCAGGCCCCATTTGGTTAGAGAAATTTGGCTTAAAGCATTTCAAATGACTCTAATTAATCCATTAGTTTCGTTTGGCAATGCAGTGGATTTCAAAACTCAAGAAGTTGGTTGTGAATTTTAAATTCATCCCTACTTCAAATACTCTTTATATTCTGTCATTTCAAATGCTTCCCATGAAAGATAAATGATGAATTTTAATTATAAATCCAAAATATTCAAATTCATTCATTTAAAATCGAGTCTGAAATCTGAATCCATCAAACCAAAAACAGGGCCTCAAATAATTTCCAATCAGCAATTCCATCCCAATCACAGAGCAGCAAAAACCCTAATCAACAGGTAGTAAATAAAATGTTAAAAAACCATTCATTTTAAAACAAAACTCACCATGATTCCCCCTACAAATGTAACCTAGAAATCAAAACCACACCTTCCATTACCATACCCAAAGATAAATAAAAATAAATTAAAAACACTAACTTCGCGGGCATTTTAGAAGAGCAAAAGGTAGAACAGTAAGAACCTATCACAAGGTTGAACAAAGTCAACATCAGGTGCGAGCTTAAACGTCGGCTCATCGGAGAGCGGCGCGTCAGGGGATAAATTAACGCGGAGGAAAACCCGGTGTTCTCTCTCGTCGATTATGAGATCTCCGGTGTAACCCAGCAGCGCAAGCAGCAATTCGTGCAGCATTGTGACGGGGCACGAAATCCACCAGCAACACCCGCCGATTTGATTCTATTAACTTTGGAATTTCAGTAATTCCGCCGGAGTAAACAGCGCCGTCGGTAGCGTTGGGTAGTGCCGGCGGGAGGCAAAGATATAAAAAAAATACCAGCGAAAAAAATTCAAAATGTTTATAAATGAAAAAGTGCTATTGTCTGCTGTAGCGTTTTTAAGCTCAAATGCATGAGGACTGTTTGCCAGAATCTCTTTTCGGGTGGGTTTTTATTTTAAATTTTATTTTAAATAATAAAATTTTGAATTAAAAGATTTGTTGATACAAATATATAAATATGCATAAATTTTATACTTTGAATAAAAAAATGAATTTTAATATAATATAATAAATAAATATTTAATTTAGTATTTTATTAAAATTGAAATAATAAAATCAAAATCAAAATTTTATTATAGCTTGTATTTAGGTTTAAAATTTTGTTTTTCCTATATTTTTTTTGGCACGGTTTTAAATATATATATTTTTTATTTTTTTTATAAAAATCACATTAAAGTAAAATTTCAAATCAAAATACTAAACAAACAAACTCTTAGTATCAATGAGAAATTTTACATTATTTTTTACTCTATTTTTAGCACATAATTTTATTTTTTTAAAAATAATTATAAATTTTATTTATATTTTATATTTTATAATTTATCATTTTTTTTCAATCTTAGTTAAATTAATTAATTATTTTAATTTTAATTTATAATTATTTATATATAATAATAATAATGGTTTTTACTACTACATTTGTTTAATTATTTATTAACTGCATCCTCTAAAATTATAGGATTTGTTTGTTTCCATTTTTATAGAAGAACAAATGTTTAAGTTGAGTTTGATTTGGTTCTTACCATGCAAGTTGCAACCATGACAATAAATTTATTAATTCTACTTATAAAACTATTTTCAAAACATTATTCAAAATTAAAATTAAATTTGAAAATAAATATTATAGTATGTCAAATGGAGGAGGAGGCATCCCCGTTGTGTTAAAATAAAATTAAAAATTAAAAAAATAAATTATCCATGTCAGATATAGTTTGCAAGATATTATGTTTGATTGGAGTTTAGTTATGTTTGATTGGAGTTTAATCAGTGTGCACTTTCGGTAGCGACTTGCGAGTTCTCGCGTCATAATAATAAAAAATAAATAAAAAGTTTATCGTCCTGTCCGTAAGAGAATAGGAACATGGGGACTAGTTGAAGTAATGAGCCCCCCCTCTTTCTGATTCTTTGACAAACGTATTTGGGCATAATCATAATGATGTCATGCTTGCTTTTGGTACTCCACTCCTACCTCCTCTACGTTTTTTACAGCCGATCTTTGTCTCAGTAGAGTCCAAATCAAGATCGAGAAAAAGAAATTTTCTAATCACTTACTCAACGGCTGGGGTTGAACTTGTGACCATTAGGTAATGGGTTCTGTTGTGAATTTATTCTCGGATCTTTTTGGATTTATCGAATAAAACCTCGTATACAAAAATACGACAATGAATTAACGAAAGCGAATTCAAATAAAATCAATACCGAATCGAAATGAAATTAACACCATTAAAGCAAAGGCATAAAACGATTTTTTGGAAATTTGAAATCGAATACAGACAAACACACTTAAAGAGAACAATTAAATTGGAAATCAAACAAATTTCCTGTTTTGCCATCTCTGAAATTTGGAGATTTCTGAAATATGGAACTCCCAAATTGTTGGGAATTTTGGTCGTTCTACGCCTAACTCGACAAGTCCCTCAATAAATGATTAGTTGGCCCACTCCGTAAATCGACCCACTAGATCAGTCCAAACTCTTTAACCCAAATTCATTTACTCAAATCCACCTTATCCTAAACACAATTAATTAGGTCGTTGATTTTGTTATAACCATGTGAGTTGGTTATGGTAAGTTAGTTTTTATAGATATAAATCGGTGGGTTTAGGGGTGAATTAAGAGATGTGAGATCGAGAGTAGAGAGGGAGAGAAACGGCGAGAAGATTCCGGTGAGGTTGGGGACCCTTTTCGATGGCCAATTCCAGTGGGTGTCGAGGCTTGGAATGACGAGCCGACCTCCAACCTTGAGGGGTGATTACCTCGGGCCACTTTGCACCATGGACTGAGCCGATATCCGCCGTCCCTTTGACGCCGGTGAAAGATTGAATGAAGGAAGGAGTCGATTGGAGGTTTTTCGTCACTATCGGAAGGAGTCCCGGAGAAGACTGGAGGAGCAGTCGCTGTTCGGAGGTGCCGGAGTGCCGCTAGTCGAATCTGTTTGGAAACCGCCGCCGCTGGACTGCCGGAGGAGTATCCCGACGCCGGAGAAGACTGCCGCGGAGTTTATCGATTTTGTCGATCGTCGGCTGAATTAGAGAATAAATATCTCGATTGCAATTTCAGAGGAACAGACACACTGAAGGGAAAGAATTGCTTTTAATTTCAATTGCATATATTCTGTTTGGTTGTGTTTCTTTCCTTAAAATCCAAAAATAATTTTGCCTTAATTCTTTTTCATTTCGATTTGGTTTTATATTAATTTGGGTTTATTCGATTTAATCGTTTCCGCTACTAATTGATTCGTATTGGTGTATACGAGGTTTGCTCGATAAATCCAAAAGAATTCGAGAATGATAAATCCAAAAGAATCTGAGAATAATTCAAAGATTACCTGCAGACTATTAGATTTGACTGAGTTTCTACTTTCCTCCTCAAAAATGTTATTGCACAAAAAATTAAAATCAAACTAGAAAACTTTGAGCCAAGAAATTATTTTGCTAAAAGAAATTCAAATCAGCCACCATCAAAACTCAAATTATTTTACCAAAATCTGACAAAAATTAACCCAAAATCTCCATTATATTTCTTACTCGAATTATCTAAGAATAATCAATTCTTATTTTTACTTCAATTCTTTTTTCCATTTCCCTGTAATTTCATTATTTGTAACAAACGGACCCTTATTGCTAGTTATAGTAATAGAACAATTGATTTACGACAAAAGAAATACAAATAGCAACAATAGAACAATAGATATAGGAATAAATATGGTATGAAGTAAAATCGACAAAAACACACAAATCACCTTTCATCGTATCATATAAAATTCACTCATTTCCTTTGTAAAATACAAAAAAAAATAATAAATTCACAATTCCTTTTACATTCACAGTAAAAAAACTCTTAAAATTATAAATATTAAACAAACACGTAAATCATTGGCAACTTTTCCAATAAATTGAGTATTGTATATAACACAAAGAGTATTTGTACAAATTTAACATCACCAGAGCAGCCATATACATTTTCAACACATCCCTTCATCTTTTACTTATCTATTACTAACATATTCAGAAGTTTTCAGTGTCTTTTTACATACCTGATTGAGCTGTGAACTCGAACAATTACAGTAGCTTCATCATGAAATCAAACTGCACATCCGGCGTAGTTTTTGGGTGCGGCCAATTCGCTCCTTCAGGGACCTTAACGCATTTGAAGCCCTGGTTTTTGTACAGTTTTGTCGCCCCAGGATTGCTGATGTCGCAGTGAAGGGCAATGGCTCGACAACCCCATGCTTTGGCCTGCGCCTCCGCTTTGACTATCAGCCTCTTTGCTATTCCCTTTCTACGGTATCTTTCTCGGACGGCAACATTTGATATGTAGGCGATTTCTGTCCTGTGAACATATGACAACAAGAGGATCGAATTCAAATTCATAGCAATAGTTCCAAATGTGATTTAAAAATGCAATGGAGGGGTGGTTTTAAGTTCGGCAATTTAAGAAGTTGTACATGCGAGTGGTAAGAGATATACTCCCTTTGTCCAGTATGAATGTTTTTATTTACTTTTTGAACGTAATTTTAAAATATTACTATTGTATACAATTTACCTCTGAATATTTTGTAATGTAGTTAAATAATATTGATGGCATTATTGTAAAAATAGGAAAGATGTATGGGTTTTTTCAATATTGGTAAGGACCACAATTACTAAAAAATGAAAACAGGTAGATTAATTTCAAAAATGTCAAAATAGCAAAATGAATACATTCATTCGGAGCAGAGGGAGTATTTTTGTTTACTATGATAATTTTATAACTTTTTGCCCTAATTATCTACACTTCTACAGTAAAGTTTTTTATAATATCACATAAATATATACTCTCTCTCACAAAATATCACAATAGATAATGACCTTTTTACTATTCTCTTTATTTTCAAAAACTCAAATATTAAGCAGTAAATCTTACATCAAACTAAAGCTAGTTGGAAGTAAATTTATTGCTTAATTGAGCATCAAAAGTTCGTCCAAAATATGATCACAAGTATATAATAATTCACAATAGTTCTTTGTCTCTTACGTAAATACAAGTTTTTAAATAACTAACAAGCTAATCAAGAAACATCACAAAATACTTAACGGACACGTAACAGAAGTTATATGAATTCACTATATGCAACACATTCATGGCTTGCAATGAAAGTCATTCAGCTAATTCAATATTCTCAAAGTCATATAAAATATTTACAGTTAAAAATATTTTGGATTACCTCCTTTGTCGTAGAGGCCCTTTTCGTGGAATAAAATCGGCTACATTGTCCACTGTCAAAATCCCAGCAACATATCCTTTATTGAGACTGAATCTCCCATCAAGACCTCCGATCTTTAAGTCATCACTCCCCAAGAAGAAGGCATCTTGGCCTGAATTTTCAGTTACTGCAACCAGGCAAGTTCTTTTGCAACCCTTTGGTATCGAGAATCCAAAGAGCATCCCAATAAGCCTGTCGATTCTCAACACAAAATCTAGAGGAAAAGAATATCCAGGAAAGAAAGAACTGCAGTGTGTCTCCGCGACTTCCCAACAGTCCTCGATTCTCGCCTCGCGGACAACAATTTCGGGAGATGTTGCCGGGAAAAATTCAGCCACTTGACTCGCTTTGCAAAGGCCTGTAAGAGAGATTTTCCATTTCAAATGGTTTACAATATCAGACTAATAATAACAGAGCACCAGCTCTTCGATACTTCACAAGAAGGAGGTCACTTCAAGAAGAGGAAAATGGGAAAATTCTACAAGTATCTAATCGGAAAGTACAGTGACATATTCGGTTATATAATTATATTTATTTAAGTGAATTGACCATACAAACTAAAAAGCATAGAGATACTTTTAGTATTTGGATGTACTTCAAAACATTTAATTCCTCAACATGATTATAAAAAATGAGCCTTTTCTTATATAATTAATTTTAAAAATTGAAAAAAAAAATTTTTAACTACTCTTCACCCAAGTTCAAATTAATTCATTATATCATGCATCCTTCATCTCCAAGTTAACATTAAAATCATATCAAATCACATAATTCAATCATTCTACAATTTTATAAATCAAATCAAAGATATATATATATTCACCATTCATTACTAGCAATACCAACAAAGCAGACGCTATTTCACATACTCAAAACACTAAAAAAATAATAATAATGCAAACATATTACTCACAAATTATGCCACTTCGCCCGATAGAAAAGAATTAGACAATTCATCATGACCCTGACATCAGAGGATTTCGGTCAATAGACTATACTAAACACATACGATGCAGATTTAGCTCCAAAATACACATTCAATTTAGGTGTGAGGATGTATTTTTTCAAGCAATCCAGCATGTAACAGTGTTGATTCAGTCCTATCTCACATTGCGCTCGACCCTTGCCCTGAATAGCATTCATGGATTGGGCATTTCCAAATGAACCAAAATCCAACAGTTATTAATGTTGATTTGGTCCTATCTGACATCGCGCTCGTCTTGTTTCAACCCTTGTCCTGAATAGCATTCATAGATTGGGCATTTCAAAACAAACCAAAATCCAACAGATATTAATGTTGATTCGGTCCTATCTCACATCGTGCTCGTCTTGTTTCAACCCTTGCCCTGAATGAATGTCAGTCATGGATTGGGCATTCCACAATATAGTAAAAGTAAAGAAACCAAGAAAGTGATGACGTCAAAGCCTCTTCTTTCCTTATCCCTCATGCACTAGTGCAACTTTCTAATAATCGTTCGTGTTTAAACTCACTTTCACCCTTTTCAAGGGTATGTTTGTTTTCCTATACATACTGTTATTACATCAAATACATATTTCAAATAACAAAACATCACATCAAATACTTAAAAGGTGTGTTTCTTTGCCGTTTCTTCTCAATTGTTTACTATTGAGACTTCCGTTTTTGGAAAACAGGAAAATACATATTTTTCCATCACAAAACATCATATTTAATATTATTTAAATACAAAACACAAACCAAATCTTCACAATACAAACCCTTTTCACTATTCGCCAAAAGTTATAAAACGTCGAAACTTCCAAACATCACATGTAAATGGAGCCTAAGTAAAATATTTTTCCACCTAAAAAAACATCACATCTACCTATTTCCCATTGACAATATAACAACCAAATCATACTTTCGATCCAAAATATATCAATTCTCAAATTGGAATAAAAACACCGGAAAACATCCAAAAACACAAACAACCACACCAAATATCTGGATAATTCGATTAACAACTTTAAAAGGGCTGCATCATATTGTCATCTTCTCCGCAGCAAAAACCAAGTATAATGCGTGTGTACGTATAAACTATAAATCATATTGCATAATCTTCACATTACATTAATATTTAGTTAAGCAAACCTTCTGTATCGAAATCTGATGTATTTATATGCTCAATAGCTAACTATGGAACCAGAGTCTTAGCAGCAAATTTGTAACCAATCCACACAGTATTCGAAGTCTTGTATCGATTTCAGGAAAAAGGTTGACCTGGAAGCAAACCTGATAAGTAGGAAGACGATGCCGAAGAGAGGAGAGACGTGGGGATTTCGAATTGAGAAACCCTAGAAATTGTGGGAAATAATTGATGCTTGTAATTGTTGGGTTTGAGAGAGAGACAGGGGTTGAGGCTGCTGCTGCCGCCGCCGCTGACTACGGTCGCCATTGATGATGCTCCTGTCAGAGAAACCATCTCCCCAGTGTCCCACCCCCACTCTATCCGCGCTCTCTCTCTCTCTCTCTCTCTAGATATATAATCTATATATATGTATATATATCTCTATTCTCTACAAGGGGATGTGGAGGAAGTACACAGGATTTTATATTTGTGATGTTTAGTAAACCGGACAGGCCGGTCGGATAATCGTCGACCGGTTATTGAATATGGGAGAAAGTGATGCAGAGCTGTAAAAACGGTGGCAGGACTGCCAATTCAAATTGCGAAGCCGGCCGGCCGGCCAGGTCGGGTCGAATTAAGTCGGTTAGGATTAAACCGAAACTGGGTTTAATAGTACGTTTTAGAAATGTTTCTACGAAAGTTGGACAATATAATTATTCAGCACATACGCTGAAGTCTTAAAAATTGAGTAATATTTTATTTTATATAATTAAATTATATTATTAATATAATTATAGTCATTAATTTTGTGAGATTTAGCACAGGTGTTAATATTTTCATTCAGTACTTGATTTTCCTCGAAAATCGAACTTAATAGCCTCTGCAGATCTGGCTCGACCGGCTCGACGGAAAAGTCACGAATCATGTATGGTAAGTGACTCATGACCTCACTGTCACAAATCCAACTCCTATACCACCAGGTCATCCGTTACGGGATAATAGTATTTTATTAGTTAGTGAAAGTGTGTAAAAAATTTTGATATTTTTTGTCATTTAATTTTACTTATAAAATAATTTGTATGGGTAATAGTATGTTTGTAATTTAGGTAAAAATTAAGGATATTTTAGTATTAGTATATAATTATTAAAATAAGAAAGATAATTTGAAATGAGACATACCAACTTTGAATCGGGATAAAAAGAATATTAAAATAACAATTGATGAGATGTTTTATAGTTTTTTTTTTTATTTTTAAACACGGTAAAATTTTTAAAATCTTATAAAAAAACCAAAAAACACAAGATTAAAGTGTATATTGTGACAACTTAAACAATTCTAAAAAAAAAAAAAAGAAACCAACGCAATTGCCTCGTGATAAAGTCGAGACACTTCTCAAAATCATTTATCCATCTATCTTTTCTCTGTCTCATAGGTTTTCATTTTTTTGCACAAATATATCATTTTCAGATCGAAATAATCTCTCCATCAAAGAACCTAGTATCTCGACCGCAAGGCCACCATTGGAACTTCAATGACCACTCGACAAGCTGTTGTGATTTTAATTGATTGTAGGATTTGAAAATTTATCAATCGGTTTTGAATTGTTGATTCTCCAACTACGATCTAAAATGCCATTCATACCGGCTTTTCATAACGTCAATTTTTCGAACTTGTATAGATGACTAACGAATTTGAAAGAAATGAATTCACAAAATCTAGTTTTTATTTTATTTTATTTTATTTTTCGTACAAAATGTAAAACTTAATCTTGAAAGTCAATGTAATTAAATTTTAACAAATAAAATCAATTGTAGTCCCTCGACAAATCATATAAATAATATGACACCAGACTTTTTTTTAGCGAATACAGCTGTATTAGCTCCAAGCAATATATAATGTGAGCTTTGATTTTTATATTTCATAATGTGAAATCTAGCCCTGGCCGTAATGGATACTAGGCGCTGTGCGTATTGACCCCCTCCGTTAAAGCATATGCAATGATACACTCGTTAAAAATACCTCATAGATGATATGTTAAGGCCATTATTGAAAATAGAACCATCTTAACATATAAATTTGACATAGCGTAGATAATCAAACTATACTAGTCAAAACATTCGTCAATCGATCGTATTGCATATGAATCCAAGCGTTGTCAAGATTCAACACTTCTAAACTAATGGAGACTCGAATAATATGACTAGAAAATCCGGTCAATTTTTTGATACGATTTCGTATACTCGGACCAGATGGAAGTGCAAGTTCATCATTACTTTTCACGACCTCATCAAATCCCTTCCCATTGTGTAATTACTTTTTTTATCATTCCATAAACGCTTGATTTTGTATCCTTCCATAAATGTCTCTAATCCGAATGACCGTCCCATTGTCATCCCTAAAGAAACATTAGATATGAATATACGTTCCAAAAAGTATATACAATACCAATATGTTACAATTGTACATCACCAAAACCAACCCTAAAATTTTCCCATAACCACTCAACAATCTCATCCATGCCATTCCATCGCCACCTTGTGTATCTACGCACTCAATATTGAAATACAACAATATCATACCACACAAACCAAACCAAGATAAAGTTCGAATGGACCTGACCCGAGAAAACAATCGAGACATCCATGCGACAAGACGTGAAAATACACGACACAACAACAAACCACCTATACACAATCTCAATTGCCCCAATCAGATCATGTTACATCAATGACATAACACGGTTATTCTCCATTGTCATGTATATATATATATATATATACACACACACGGCATAATAGCATAAAATCCACTCATGATTTATGAAAATTGTGCGAAAAAATTCTGATTTTAAAAGAACGGAGGTTTCACGCAATTTTCATAAATCACAAATAGATTTATATTATTTTGCATATATATATATATACTCTATATGCACACACAATCGCCATAACCACAGAACATGTATTTCAAAAGCACATAAAAAAGCATAAGATAAAACCCAATAAAAAAAAACTCGCACCGGGAAATATTGAGAAGTTTTAACCCATCAAGATAGTCGAAAATCATCCCAAAGACAATAGCAGAACTAATTAAAAAAAAAAACAAGAATCGGAGAAAACAAAAACCTACTTATGTCATATCGAAAGAAGCTTACTGCGCATCGTTTTCTCACGACTTTTCAATTCCCTCTGACTATATCCTCACTTCTTTCGGATCTTCAGCTCCTGCAGCTTGTCCTGCACAGCATTTATAGTCGAAAATACCTCGCCAAAACCCGGCTTTGAATTGGCAGGTGTAATGCTAACATTGGAAACCCGAGACTCGACCGGAGCTGTGAAGATCTCACATGGAGGTAAGGTGAGTTTAACTTTTGGTATGTCCGAATACGGCATCATAGGGACATGTGATAACTTACAGTTACGAGGCTCCTCGACTTGAAACACTGGAAGCCTGGAGACACGGGAATCTTCTATTCTACCTGAAAGAGTTCGAAATATCGGTGGCTGCTCGGCTCTCGCCATTGTAGATCGAAAAAGGTGAGTATCATCCCGGATAGATGGTGGTTGTAGGAGGGGTAGCTTCTCGAACGGGAGATGTCCGCCAGGATATGCAGGAACAGCTTGTTTTACAGAGACAGGTGGCGCAATACCCAATGCCAGAGGTCTCAGGGATAACGACGGTTGGGGAGACGGAAGCGCCGGCGGCGGAGAGAATACAGGAACTGTGTTGCGGATCGTCACTGGCGGGGCGATTCTCTGGTGAGCATTGCAGTGCCGGAATGGAATGTAGGGTGCTGCTTCTGCGGCAGGGAATTTCTGCACCGGTCGGTGTCTAAGGCTTTCAATCACCATTGAAAGGCTCTCGTTTGAAACTGTAGTTTCCGGCTGGCTTTGATTTGTTTGAACATACTTTTGGAATGTTGAGGTGGTGCTCGATGGTGGAGTCGGTCTGGTTTGTTGGCCTGTCTTCGGGCAGATCAATGGGAGAAGTTTCGAGGTTGCGGGCGGGGACGGAAATGTGCTCGCCGGCTTTGGACTTACTGTCGGGAATTTGATTGGAAAGGGCACCTTCGCCATTCTTGCTTTTACCAGATACTGCTGCAGCGCACGAGCTACTGTGACGTGCTCCTGCTCGTCCTTGTGGGTCTTTTCATGGGATGTTTCGGATTTCTGCAGTACTGCGAAAGAAGTAGAGCAAAAGTAAGAATGTTTGGTAAGGTAGCAAATGAAACACACCAAAGCATTTAAAACATTTTAATTAGATCTTTTCACGATTTGCATTTGATTTTAATCAGGCCTATGGTTGCATTACTATGTTCAATAAAAGCATTAAGGCGTATACTTTAGATTCAATCATAATGGATTAGATTTATGGGTGATCAAAATGTGTAGTCTAAGCATTGTAGCGAAAACTAAGATGCAACAAACATTGTACATTGAAAAACTATAAAATTGTAGCAATTTCAAGGTACTAAACACTTCGAGAATCAAGAATAGAAATTTCAAAATATCAAATTTTGGAGTTGCTATTTATTGTAAACATTTTCTTCCAAGCATAACGACGTGCAGCTACGCCAATTCATCAGTAAAGCCTTACACATTATAGAACACGATTGAACAAACAAATACGGCATCAAGGGCATATATACATACACATATGCATGTATAGAGATTCGTATATATGGTACTTACATGATTTGAGAGAGAACCAAGCTGTCATGGCAGCATTCTTTTCTGCTTGCTTCTTGTTCTTAGCTTGATCGCCAGTAAAAATAACCCCTGCCAATTCTACAGTACAGGTGAAAACCGGAAAGTGTCCAAGACCACTTCTGAAAGTTGAATATTTCGGCAAACATGATCCAACTCTTTGAGAAACCTCCTGCAGTAGATTCTTATATACTCCAGTCTCGTCCTGCATTGTCAAGTAAAGTAAATATCAACAGAGCAGTCAAATTGAAAATAGAAACCCTTGATGCAAGGGTAAAAGTTGATCAGAAAACGTTGGCTGTGTCCGATTTGCTAAAGTAGAGGTTAGAATTCATATTCAAGGTTCTAGGACCTACCATTTAGCATGTTAAACTATTACACAATTCTATGCAGTTTTGATTGTTATAAAGTGGGCTAATTTAACACAATTTAACCCTCGAAATGGGAACTCAATTTTAATACTCAATGTTCTCTTCAATAAATGAGAAAGCTCCAAATGATAAACAAGCATTACATCTTACTATAATTCCAGAGTTCACACTTAATGAAGTGTAACACGCAACCGAGCACCATAAAACCTTTGCAAATCTAACTAAAAATCACTCTGTGTCGGAAATATAACGAGGAAAAGGAAAGCAAGGTTATGCATTTTCATCCCACTTTATCTTTTAATGAGATGAAAATTAGAAAAATGTGAAAACAAGCTCATTTTATCATTTTGATATCCCACTTAAGATCACATTTGGTCCTAATCAAGCTCTATGTATCTCGAACAAATTAGAAAAATGTGAAAACAAGCTGGATGGGTTAATCAAATTAATCATTATCTTCCAATGTATCCATACTTATGACCTTCCAAAGCTCAAGTTTTATCCTAACTATAATTGCAATTTATGACTTTCCAAAGCTCGTGTTCGGTCCTTTCAGAAATCATAACAATTCAAAGCTGGACGCTGGACCTATCTGTGAGCATAACAGGCCCTTTGCGGCATAAGGCCCACTTCAAAAATAAATAGGCAAAGGAAAGCAAATTTTCATTCAAATGAGCAAATGCTAGATGTCACATTTAATCATACTAAATCTTTACTCATCTAGAACAATCTCACAGACAAAAATGAAGAAACCGAATTAATTAAAATATTTCTTCTATGACTCAAGCTTTATGCTAGCTGTAATTAGGACCGTTCAGGCGTTCAACGCTACTCATCTAGAACAATATCACAGACATGAAAATGAAGAGACCGAATTAATTAAATTATTCCTTCTATGACACAAGTTTTATCCTATCTTTAATCATGACCGTTCAACGCTCGAGTCTTATACTATCTTTAATCATGACCGTTCAACGATTGGCCATGCCATATATGTAATTACGACGTTCAAAGCTTGTGGTTGGTCCTATCTGTAATTACAACGGATCCTTTTCAGCATAGGGCCCACTGCTTAAAACAGTGGGTAAAACAACCAAAATTTTCATCCAAATAAACAAACCGTAGGATGTAAATGATGAAAACAGCGTGCCTAAAACCGCCCAACCAAAAAATACCGCCAACAGATTTTGAAATTCCTATTCTGCAGATAGCTTCATTTCTTTTCAAATTAAATGTTGGTGAATCAGATTCTAGCTGGCAATAGTAACATATATGCCTGGCAAACAACACGCGACTTACTAAAATGAAAATACCACTGTTAAAACAAGGAATTCGTGATTCTGCAAAATCCATCTTCAGAGCACACAGAAAAATTAAAAAATTTTACGCATGTATTACAAACAAGATTGGTTATGCAAAAAGGTACAATCATAAATCAAATGTCGTATATCCAACATAACGAATAAACTCAAAAGATATGACGTCAAGCTGCGATGAAATGGCAGAGACAAATGCCAATTTATATGAGCAATCCCTAGACGACAAGAAACACAATACTTGCAGCATTTCGCCAATAACGCCAAAATCGACCTCAGATTCATCTAAAAAGCATAGAAAAGAATTAGAACATTTCGATCTTGTACTGATTGTTCCACTTTTCTTTTAATCCCATTAACATACAAAACACTAAAACCAAAATGGCCAATTTGCTCCACTACTCATCATAAAAACAGAAAGACGAACGCACTAAATGTCCGCCATTATCTCCTCTTTTCCTTTTCATCTAAGCAGGAGTAAACTTTACACAATCGACCACAATCACACAACAGCAAACGAACAACCATCAAACAAAGAGGAATGCGAAGAACAAATTCGAAACCAAACAAATCAAAACTTTAAAAAAGAATTACCAGAATTCTAGCAGCGAGTGAGTTGGAAGGACCACGGCCAGAGAGAGCATTGAGCGCCACTTCGGCGGCGGAATGCTCCGCCTGGCGGAGAGTGGTGCAGTAGCTAGGGCACTCAAACGTCTCCCCGTTGAAATTGACAGCCGCCTTGAACCGCGGCGCGTGATCGGGACCTTCCCTGATGCACGTATACGACGGCAGATTGAAGCAGCTTCGCTGCGCTAGCTCTTGTAACTGATTCTTATACATCTGCTTCACACCAACAAACAAAATCGACGCCAAATCCAAATGAAGATTATATAATCAAACAGAAGCCATAAAAACAACAACAACAACAGCGACAGCGACAACAACAAAAACGAAGCAGCAAAGTAAACTGAAACACAACACCACTGAATTCTCACCGTCTTCAACAGCCTACAAAGGAGAATGCATCAAATCACAGGACCACGCTTGCTCTGGTATTTCTCTCAAGGGTTTTTTATGCTCACATTACTCCGCTTGAGTTTTTCGGTGGGAGAGAGAAGAGAGAAGAGAGAAGAGAGAGAGAGGGGGGTGGGGGGGGGCATGAGCAGTTTTGCTGTGCAGTAATAGTTTTCGCCTTAAAAACAACGTAAGAGAGAGAAAGAGAGAGAGAATCTTTTATAGCACATAATCATTTCTACTCCTAAAAATTAAAATAAATATGCAGAAGATTGAATTGCGAACGGTCCGGCGGACCCGGACCCGGATCCGGGTCCTGTTACGGGTTTGGATAGTTCTTTTATGGTGTGTTTGTTTAGAAGATTTTCTCAAATTTTTATTATTCTATTAATTTTTTTCTCCCAAAAATATTAAATTATATATCTATTTTTTTATTTTTTATATTATACTAATAATAAATATTACTATAAAACATATCATATCAACAATTATTTATATCATATCATATAATAATTTCAATTTAAAGTCCAAAGGTAGGAGTCAAGCCTAGTTCCATTAAAATTTTTAATTAAAATAGATGTATAATATGATATAAATATAAGTTGATGTAATATTTTGAATATAAAATTAATTTTTAATTGTATAATATAATAAATAAAAAAACAGACATTTAATGGTATGTTTCTTTTGCACCAAATTTCAAATTTTTACTATATGGACTCTACCGTTTCACGAAAAAATACATATTTTTTTCTTACAAAATATCACATCATACATTATTTTAATATCAAACTTAAACCAAAATTTTCCCAAACTCATCTAAAGAATCTAAAGAACCATAATATTTTAAAAAATAATAATAATAAAAAATTAATGAATAATAAAAATCCTAAAAAATCTGCCAAACAAACAAAGATTTGGTTTTGATTTCAAATGTAGCATAAAAATAATTCACTTGGGTGTCATGAATGATGATGATAAGAAATAATATAATAAATGCACTGGCAATTATAGTAAATATTTATTAGACAATGATATTAGTTAGATTGTTGAAAATTTAATTTTACAAATTAGTAATAAATTAATTTTAGTGTATTGACTAAAAAATATATATGATTTTTAATAAAAATATAAATTTTCTTGTTCCACATTAATATATTTGTTTTCTTTTATTTTTATTTGTCTCAAATTACTATATTAATTTTTTAAAATAGTTGTCACCTACATAATTTTATAAGAAAATCTTTATAATTTATAATATATTATAAAAATATAATTACCTTTATATAACTAAATCATAAAACATAAAGAAGTAAGAATATATAAAACTATTCAATTTAAAGTTTTTAAATAATTGACCAATTTTTAGATTATTTGTGGTCTAATTATATGAAAAATTTATTTTATAATGTGTTTGTTGTTGTTGAAAAATAAATTGATATTATATTTTCAATTTTTTTCATTCAAAATTTTTCAAAGTGGTATCCATTTGTAATAGATTTGAAATTTTCTATTTTTTTTATAAATTAACTTATGGTAATTACATATAAATACAAATATTTTTATTTATTTATTATTATTATATAAAATTGTTTATCTATAAAGTAGCATACATATTAGATATGCTTATTGAAGTATAAATTTTTTTAATATTTAAAATTTATTTCTAATTAAAATATATATTACATTATAACTTAATTCATAATTAAACAATATTTTATTATTCAACAACTGCTTTTACATTTAGATCTTTCAACTTTCAAACATAATTTTTTATTTTTTTTTCACATTCATCTTTTATAAGATAAAATAGTATATTTTTATTAATAAATATGCGAAATAAAAATATTAATTTCAACTTAAAATCACAATCAAACAAACACAAAAATTTTGAAAATATAATATTGTAAATTATAATTTTAGCCATTGTTTGTCATCGAATTTAATAGTTTGATATGGTCAAGATTTGAAAGAAGTTAGATGGTGTGTTCACTTTATATTTATATATATATATATTATATTAAATACGAAAAATTGTATTCAAAATATAAAAAATAATATTTTGTATTCTGTATTAAGTTTTTGAATAGATATTATATAAGTATGTGTATATATTGTATTTTTTTTTTATATAATATTAATCAAAAAAATTTGTTTCATGAACACACCCAGAGGTTTCAACCATAGTGCTTATCCGTTTCGGAAATAAGTAAAAATAGTGTGTGTTAATATTAGTGTTATTGTTAGATGATTATTTCAAACGATGTTTTATTCATTGATCGAGTCATTCATTCATTCGATACTTTCATTGATACATGTCTTTATCTAAATCTCCACAATCACCCATCCTTCGACATCTCAACAATGCTAAGTAAGTATAAGAATATATAACCCAATCTATTTTTAGATTACACAATTCTCTATAAATATTATATAAATATAATACTCCTTCCGTCCTAGATAAGATGAGCGTGTTACTGTAAATACGAAAAATTTAGGTAAAGTATAATTAGTAAGTAATTAAGAAGTATATTAGTAAAAATAACTATTATTTAATAAAAATAATTATATATTAAAATTAAGATAACTAAATAGTTTAAGTAAGATTAAAAAATTTTAAATTTTAAAATATACTTAAAGTGTATAATCAATTTTTCAAAAAATGAAATGACAAATTATGTGGGACGGACGAAATAAGAAAATAAGGACAAATTATGTGAGACGGATGGAGTATATACATATTAATATAATATATTATATATTATTTTTTACATAACCGACATGATTTCATACATAACATAAAAAACATATTCATAAAAAAACACAACGTGAACACACCCCATGGTTTGCGAGTAATTCTCCAATGTCCTGTCTAAGTACACCAGTCGCCTCCCCAGATTATGCACTTTACAAATAAAAAATCCATATTTTTCTCTATTTGTATTTTAGTATTGGGTTGCTATTACATAGATATTACTTGCCACAGAGATCAAATATTCCTACTTAGATCAACAAAAAAAAATTCATACTTTTATATATAATAATATGTAATTGTATATACACATATAATCTTGTGAAAAAAATTTTATGTGCAAAATTAAATCAACATATTTGATAAAAAATAAAAATAAAAATTATTGATATATATAAAATCGATGGAATCTCAAATATGACACTAAATAAAATAAAGGGATCCAACGTTATCAAAAAATTTCTTATGAGTTTAGAAATATTACATTATAAAAAAAACAACCTTTTGGTTAAAAATTATAAATGCTACAACTTGAAACCTTCTCCTCTGTTGGGGTTGCATAACTGAGTTCAACATATCGAGAAATGTGATGCCTTAATATCATAAAATTTTATGATAATTTATTTGAGTTATCTTTTGATTTTTTTCCTATATAATCTCACAATTTTCAATCAAAAGTACACAAGGAAATCCAAGTACACAAATTTTCATCTTACTTGAGAGTCAATTACCAAATCAATAAGAAATGACTCATATTTAGGGTATAAAGAAAGAAAAGTTAGGAGAGACAACCACCAATATAATTATACCTTAAGTTGTTATATTTTCTAAAAAATATTAGTGATAAAAAAGATAATTAATTTAGATGAAAAAGAATATTAATAGTATGTTCATCTTCACGTCTCATTTGTAACATTCTATTGCATCTTTGATGGCATTCTTATATTCTCTTTCTTTCATTTTCATTCCATTTTTTTCATCTCTAGTATTTTCATATTTTGTTTATTTTGTAATAAAATGTAAGATTGTCTTTACCTCGTGAACTAGCCGGCTTGCCATATTTTGTATATATGTAATTAATTAAATATCATATTTCTTGATCTCATAAGCATCCATGGTTGACACATATATAAGATAACTGCTTTGTAAAGTATCTTTGTGACGCATTTGATTTAAAAACAAATATTAGTCACCTAATAGCATTTAGTTAGATGAATTCGAGAGACAATCACATTGCTAGATAGACCCATGACTTATCGCAAAAGTGACTCCTTAGGCTCAATTTGGCTTAAAATATATAGCATAAAGTTAGGTAATGAACTAATTGTTCGATTTATCAATCTCGAGTATCGATGAAAAAGACTCGCAGGGCAGTGAACTAGGTGATTCTAAAAATAGAACATCATCTTAATAATGAAAAATTGGTTTATCTTTCTACTCCTATAGGCAAATTCGAGGAATAGCGAAGTACATTAGCAATACAGAATTTTATGTAATCACCTTCATGTAGTATTCTCACGTACGAATTTTATGATGTTGAGAAAGAGTGATAGTCTTGGCATCATTCACAATAGCATGCCATTACTTTATTCATTAATTGATTTTTGCATTAAATTTTTATTTTAGCAAACATTAATTACGTTTTCATTTACAGTAACTAATTGCACAATTTTTTACTTAAAGCATTGTATATTAGCAATATTTTTAGAGCTCGACCTGAATACTTACCGGTTAAAGAATTTTTATTTTTTTTTAAAATTTGGTGATGTTTCTAAAGTTACTACATGCACCCACATAGCACTTATTTTCCATATTATATCTATATTATTTTAATAAAAAAATCTTCAAATAAATTTTATGTTTATTTTTACTTCATCAAATTGTTGGCGCCGCCGCGGGAATAAGCTAAATATTGTCCTCTCAATCTCATTATGCCCATTTGCAAGAGGAATGATCACGTTCTACGTATTATCTTATTCTTCGGTTCTTCACATCTTGTGGTTTAAGGAATTGAATTTTTCTTTGTATTTGAGATCTAGAAATGGAAGATAAAGTCGCGTTTTGGAATTACAGTCTGAGGTTGCGTCTCGAAGGTTTTTTTAAAATTAATAAATAATAACATAAAAACATATAACAAGATTCATCTATACAAATGAATAGAAGAATACGTTGTAAACAAGTCTAGAACTTGAAATCTTACTCAACTAATATAATATCATCAACAAGTACTCAAAAGGCAAAAATCAAGCCGAGCAGACCACCACAACATGGTGGTCCATAGGGGAAAACTCTCATATCTGAAGGTGCAATAAAATGTGGAGCTCCAAGGGGCAAATGAGAAGTATATACCCCATTGGAGAAGGAGGCGGTCCATAGGGCAAGTGAGGAAAAACATCTC